TTTCCTGGTCAGGGCAGGGGAGGACGTGTTGGCGGGTCTCCCCCCAGTTTCTGAAACACTGGGTTTCCTCAGTTTTATGTTTTTGTTTAGTTTGGGGGCCACATCCGGTGGTGCTCAGGGCTTACTCCTGGCTCTGGATTTGGGGGGGGACCCCATGAGGGTTGAGATTAAACCTGAATCCACCGTGTGCAAAGCAGGCGCCCTCCCCGCTGTACTATCACTCAGCCTCAAAATACTCAGGATTCTTGTGCCTCTTGAAAATAACGTAGGAATCAGACGCCCCCAGACCTGCATTCCCAGCCCCTTCAAAATACCAGCAGCCGCTGTCAGCCACACACACCCGCCAGCCAGCCTCAGTGATCTGCCTGGAGAGGCGGGCCAGAAAGGCGAGGGGCTGTCCCCTCCCCCCCCCTCCTGTCCCAGGAATGGGGGAGGAGCCAGAGGAGAATGGGGGGGGGGTGATCCTCCTTAGGTAGGAGGAGTTAGCCTAGGGATTGGGGGCGTACCACGTGCCTCCCAGCCCCTGGTTTAAAGGGGCAAAGGGGGGGCTGGAGCTATAGCAGAGCGGGTAGGGCGTTTGCCTTGCACGTGGCTGACCCAGGTTCGATTCCCAGCATCCCATATGGTTCCCCAAGCACTGCCGGGAGTAATTCCTGAGTGCAGAGCCAGGAGTTATCCCTGTACATCGCCGGGTGTGACCCATAAAGAAAAAATATAATAAAATAAAGGGGCAAAGGGCAGTGCCCAGGGCCCCTCGATGGGCAGGAGGGGAGACTGTGTGCATGGGGGCTGGGCTGAATTTTGAAGGTTCTCTCTCCAGATCTCCCAGCTGACTTATCTAAAGGGAGGGCTTGGCCCTTATCTGCCACCCCCAGCCGGTTCGGCCACCCCTTATCGGCCAGGCTGCTCAGCCCCGGGAACTAGTGGCCGAGACGGTTCAGAGAAGGGCGCCAGGAGCAGGGCGTCAGACGGCGTGGGCACCGCATGGGCATAGCGTGCAAAGGCTGTGTTGGATGCTGCTCTAACGACCTGGCATGAGCGTCCCTTCCTGCAGTCTCAGCGTGTGGCATGCAGGAGGCCCAGGGTCCATCCCTGGCCCCGCGGGGGCCCCGAGGTATCTCAGTAGGCACATTTTGAAGATGAGAGGCTGGCACAGAGAACTTCTGTTGCTTGCTGAGAATCACGCAGCTGGGGTGACTAGGGAGATTCTTTTTTTTTTTTCCTTTCTTTTTGGATCACACCTGGCGATGCTCAGGGGTTACTCCTGGCTCTGCACTCAGGAATTACCCCTGGCGGTGCTCAGGGGACCATATGGGATGCTGGGCATTGAACCCGGGTCGGCCTCGTGCAAGGCAAACGCCCTACCCGCTGTGCTATTACTCCAGTCCCAACTAGGGAGATTCTAAACCTCGTCCGTCAGCACTGCCCACCACCCTCATCTGTCGTGTCAGATGGAGACCTCCCCCAGAGGTGTAGTGACAGGTAGCCAGGTACTGTGTATTCCTTCCTGGGCTGTCATGGAGACACTACCCTGAGCTGGGCAGCTTAACCCACATGAATGCCTTGGCGTCTGCTTCTGGAAGCTTCAAGCCCATGAGGCGGTGTGTGTTGGGGTTGGGGGGGGGCAGGGGACTCCATTGGGAGGATGGGTTCCTTTTGTGGGGTGGGATAAGTCCATAGCAGTGCTCAGGGCCCACCCCTGGCTGGGAGCTCAGGGATGACTTTTTTTTTTTTTTTTTTTTTTTTGCTTTTTGGGTAACATCCAGTGATGCTCAGGGGTTACTCCTGGCTCTGCACTCAGGAATTACTCCTGGTGGTGCTCAAGGGACCATATGGGATGCTGGGGATTGAACCCAGGCTGGGCAAGGCAAGCACCCTCCTCGCTGTCCTGAGCTCCTGCCTCTAGGGGCCCGAGAGGAGCCTTCCCCCATGTTCCTCTGCTCCTGGGTCATCAGGGCTCTCTCTCCAGATGTGTCTAGGTGGGATCACCCTCTGGGCTGGGGCCCCCAGTCAAGAAAAGACACTTCTTCTGGTACCTGGTGGCCATCTCTCCCTCGCTCCCTGCTAAGACTTGGGGGTAGGGGCTGGAGCGATAGCACAGTGGGTAGGGTGTTTGTCTTGCACGTGGCCGACCTCGGTTCAATTCCCAGCATCCCATATGGTCCCCTGAGCACCTGAGTACAGAGCCAGGAGGAACCCCTGTGTATTGCCGGGTGTGACCCAAGAAGAAAAAAAATGGTGCCCCCCCATGCCCCACCTTTGTCTTGGTCTCCTAAAATTGCCAGTGACCCCTGCTCTCCTTCCTGCTGGATGCCCTGATCCACCTGCCTGCACGGGGGCTGGGCTGGGACTGTCCACAGGAGCAGGGCGTGTCTGCTCCAGGTCAATGCCGGGCTCATGGGAGGCAGTGAGTGTCCCAGTGGGTGCCCCCAGGGCGGGCCTGTGGCTGTTTCGGGCAAGGGCCCCGGGGCCACATCATCCTGGAGGCAGGAGGTGGCACAGAGGGGGCCTCTGACCCCCAGCCATCCTGGCACCCTTGGACACAGCTGACCCTTCCACCCCCAGACCATGGCCAAGTCCTCTGGGCACTTCCTGGGTGTGTGGGGAGTGGTGATTGGTCAGAGGTTGGGGTGCAGTTGCCCCTGCCATGTTTGGGGATGGGGCCTGGCCTTAGCCTTTTTTTTCCCCCATGGTGGGGGTCAGAAGGTATTGGGGTGCCCTGTCCTGTGTCCTGGGATTGGACACTCCCTCCAGATCCTCAAGGCTTGGAGAAGGGCTGGGGGAAGAACCAGTCCGTCTGGTTCAGAGGGAGGAATGGACCTTCCTTGTTCTGGGGCAGAACCGAGTCGGTGCCCTGGGCACAGGGCCAGTGCCATAGAGCCAGAGGGAACAGGAGAAATTCCCGCCGCTTATCTGGGGCTGCATCTCTGGCCGCCAGTACCTGGCCCAGCTGGACACCCAGGGGGAGGGCTGGAGGGGCTTGGGGCCTGGGTGACCCCAGGTGGACCCAGGGGAGGACAGATGGTGGACAGGGGTCTCCATGAGCACCTTTCACTCTGCCCTTGGAGTGGGGATAGGTAAAGGTAAAGGTAAAGGCCCTCCCGTTGATCATCGATTTGCTCGAGCGGGCCCAGTAACGTCTCCATTGGAGACTTTGTTGTTACTGTGTCTGGCATATCAAATACTCTCAGTAGCTTGCCCGGCTCTCCGAGAGGGGCGGAGGAATCGAACTCGGGTCGGCCATGTTGGCTGCGTGCAAGGCAAATGCCCTACTGCTGTGCTATCACTCCAGGCCCAGGAGTATTATCCAGGAGTGGGGATAATACACAGAAATAAGCTCTGAGGGAGTGCTGGGCTATCAGGGAGACAAAGTGGGGTGCTGCCCTGAGTCCTGCCCTGTTGGGGACACTAGTCCCTCTACAGCCAAGCCTTGGGGTAATGCCACAGTTGAGGGGTGTGCATCAGTGTCACCCCACCTGATCTTTATGGGGGGCCCTCAGGGGCAATCTGGGCAGTGTGTGGTCAGCTGGGCTGGTGGTCCAGCACCCAGGCTAGTGATCCTGAGCCGCTCCAGCCTTTGATGAAATTTTGGTCCTAATGGGCAAGACACGCCCCTGGCCCCAGCGACTCCCAGACACCCCCGCTCCCCCACCTCAACACACACAGTTGGTCTCTCCTCAGTGCCCAGCTCACCAGGTCCTTCCTTTGGGTCAGGAGGGTAGGGACGCCCTTCAGGCAATGTCTGCGCCTCCTCCCTCCCCCCCCCACCCACACTTCTTCTGAAGTGACTGTTCCCTTCAGAGCTGTGGCCTCCCCTCCCCGTGGGTGGCTTCTTGTGTATTCCGGAAGGATGGTGGTGAAAGGGGTGGGGGTCCCTGTCCTGCCTTCTCACTGAGTCTTCACCCACCCGGACCAGCTGGCTGAGGCTGGCAAGGTCTGTGGGGGTGCAGTGCCTCGGGGTCCCCCCCAGGACAGGGCCTTGCCTGGGTGCCAGGTGGGAGATCAGGTTGGGAGCAGACTGGCACCTGATCGATAGGTGGGAGGTTCCGGCACAGGGATCTGCTGGGGTGGGGCTGTGTGGCTCCTCTGGGTGGGTCACCAGCAGGCTGGGGGCAGCGGCAGGGGGTAGATATGTTGGTTGCTTCATCCATGGTGTGTGTGTGTGTGTGTGTGTGTGTGTGTGTGTGTGTGTGTAATTGGCACCCTGGTGCTGGGGCTACTCCCGATTCAGTGCTCAGCAGGACGGTGCAGTGGTTTTTTTATTCTTCTTTTTGGGTCACACCCAGTGATGCTCAAGGGTTACTCCTGGTGGTGCTGGAGGGACCCTATGGGATGCTGGGAATAGAACCCGCGTCTGCTGACACCCCCCCCCCCCCGCCCTGGCCCCTCCCCCCAGCTCTCCCCCAGCCCCCCCCCCCCCACAGTATTTTGGAGTAGACTTGTCTCCAGCCCTTGGGGCAATCAACCATCAACCGACCTCACTTCCTCTTTCAGAGGTTTTGTTTGTTTTGTCTTCAGGGGTCACATCCAGTGGTGCTCAGGGCTGACTGCTGACTCTGGCTCTGGGATCGTTCCTGGCAGTGCTCAGGGGACCAGATGGGGCGTTAGGGGTCGAACCTGGGTCAACCACATTCAAGGCTCCTCATTGTACCATCTCTGGCCCTGTCCTCCAGAGGTTTTCACCAAGGCTCTGTCTGGTGGCTTCTTCTCCAGGGATTGGGGTCCCGTTGAGTGAGACAGTCACTGATGTGCCCTGGAGGTGGCAGTGCATTGAGGATGGGGGGAGTACAGAAGAAGGTTCTGGAACTCAGATGGGGGAGGAGAAGTTGTCCCTGAGACTGGGAATTGGGGAATAATAACCAAATGAGGGAGGGCTGGGTGGACGGGAGGAGCGACTTCCTGTCTCCCGACTGCCCGAGCATTGAATCCTGCAGAGGAGGCTTGTGGAGGCGGCCCTGCGGGGGCTCCTAGAGTCACTCTCCCTGTGTCCCCCACTCCAGGTGCTGGGGCTGCTGGTGTGGGCCCTGATCGCCGACACGCCGTACCACTTGTACCCCGCCTATGGCTGGGTGATGTTCGTTGCGGTCTTCCTCTGGCTGGTGACAGTCGTCGTCTTCATGCTCTACCTGTTCCAGATGCACATGAAGTGGTACACGGTTCCCTGGCCGCTGGTGGTGAGTGGGGGGCAGTGGGCAGTGGGGGGCTGGGCCGGGGGTGGACAGCCAGGAAACAGAGGCGATGGGGTGGGGGTGGGGGTGTGAGTGGGAGCTCCGTCTGAGCCTTGGTCACCACCTTTGTCCTGTGTGTGGCCGAGGTTCGGGTCCACAGCGCTGCGTCTCCCACCCTGGGGACGTCCAGGAGGCGTCTCGGGGCCCACCCAGTCCCTCTCTCAGGTCGCCCCTGGGTGGACACGCAGGGCTGCTGGGCTTTTTCCTCTGACCCGGAAACCTGCAGCTGGGCCCGGGGCCTTGAGAGGCACATGACACAGGCTGCCGGCTGGGACGGGGCCGCATTGTGTGGGATTCAATGACTTCTCAAACGGGGGAAACGTGAGTCATCGCGGAGACAGACGGGGCTTGTTAGCCGGAGCCAGGGTGCTGGCAGCAGGCAGCGGGCGCTGGACGTGGGGGAGCTGGGGCGGGAGGACTGGCCCGGCTTCGTGGCTCGGGGTCCAGGCTCACTCCCAGGAAGCTTGAAGGAAAATTGCTGAAGGTGGGGGCAGGGGGTCTTGGGCCCCGGCGTGGGCTCCAGCCAGAGGCGGCGCTGGACAGAGGCTCCTCCCTGGCCTGATGACAGGACAGTGTCCCTCACATTCCTAGAGCTTTTCCTTTTTTTGAGGGGCGTGGGGTGGGAGAGATGCTTCCCAAGCAGTGCTTACCAATTCTGGGGGTCACTCGTGGTAACTCTTGGCCAGTTGGGCTGGGTGGTTCAGCCCTGTGGAGCCTTGGGAGTTCCAGGGGCCATGTGGCGCCAAGGATTGGACCCAGGACTTCCCAGCCCTGTAGGCTAAGGCCTTTGGGATTCTTGGGTTTTCTTTGGGGTCCCTGGGGTGGAACCCAGCCTCCCACTCAAGCAAATGCTCTCCCGCAGAGCCGCGCCCCCAGACCCTCCTTTTAACAGGAGAGGGGCGGAGGGGTTGGCTGCAGAATATATCTAGTAAAAGCTGGGTAAGCACGATCTGATTAGATTTGGGGGGCTGAGGCTACAGTCCCCTGCGAACCAGGCAAGGTATACGACTGGGTCCGTGCCGGGGTGGGGGGCGGGGTTGGATCTGGAGAACCCATCACTCATTTGTCCTGGGAGCTGCCTCTACTCACCTCCAGCTGTGGTCACGCACATCTGGGCTTCTCCACGACAAGTCAGTGCTCTCTCTCTCTCTCTCTCTCTCTGTCTCACTCTCCCTGTCTCTCTCTCTCTCTCATCCTCTCCCTCTCTCTCTCCCCCCTCTCCCTCTCTCTGTCTCTCACTCTCTTCTCTCTCCCCTTCTCCCTCTTCCCCTCCCTCTGTCTTCTCTTTCTCTCCCTCACTCTTTTGCTGTCTCTCTCCCTCCCTCTGTCTCTCTCTCCCTCTGTCTTTCTTCCTCTCTTTCTCCCTCTCTCTCTCTCCCTCTCTCCCCATCTCCCTCACTCTCACTCTCTCCCTCTCCCTCACTCTCTCTTTCTCTCTGTTTTTTGGGGCCACACCTGGAGGTGCTCAGGGCTTACTCCTGGCAGTGCTCGGAGAACCAGGGATCAAATCTGAGTTGGCTGGTCGACCGGCAAGTGATTTATCCAGTCTACTCTCTCTCCAGCCCCCAGATTTGAGTTTAAGAAAATGGTCAACACCTTCAACTTGGCACATGAAAATCAAATTTTAGGGAGTTGGTAATTTAAGAAGAATCGATGGATAAAACTGAACAGGTCTAAGAGTCATTAGGCAGTTTCCGCTGTCTCCTGGCCCCAGGGGGAATCAGACTCAGCCTCTGACATGGGCCTTGAACCTGTGTGTGTCTGTAGGGGCTGTGGGGGACAGGTCATTTTCACAGGGCACAGAGGCATGAGGTCTGGGTCCAGGCCTCCCAGAACCAAGCCTGTGATGGAGAGGCGCTGCCCAGTGGGGCCCTTGCTTGTGCTGGCTGGTCTCCTGCCCAGCAGGAGGTTGGCCCCGCCCGCCCCCCCCCCCTCCCCAGTCCAGTGTCAGCCTCTGGTGCTCAGAAAGTCCCAGGCCCCATTGTCGGTGTCGAGTCTCAATGCTTTTGCTCCCTGTCCCTGCAGCTGATGGTGTTCAATGTGACCGCCACGGTTCTCTACGTCACGGCCTTCATCGCCTGCTCTGCCGCCGTGGAGCTGACGGCCCTGAAGGGTTCCCGGCCCTACAACCAGCGCGCGGCTGCCTCTGTGAGTTTGGCTCCCAGGGAGGCCAGCGTGCACCATGGCCCCAGAAGTTGTGCACTTAACCCTGGCTGGGGGTGGGGGAGAGCCGGGGCAGCACCCTAGGGGGAGAAGGGTGCTCCGGCCAAGGCTCTGGGTGCTGGTCAGTGTGTTGTCCCAAGCTGATTGAGGGTCCCGGGTCTCCTTTGAGAATCTATCCAAGGCTTTCAGCCATCTCCCCATTCAAAAGAGCTGACATCCAAACCTCTAGATTTAAACTAATTTAAATTTAGATTTGGGGAAATGTCTCTCACGAAGCCTGCATCCAGGCTCTGCCAGTGACCAGTGAGTTGACAGGTGTCCCCTCTGCCCATCACCCCTCACGCGAGGCCTACAGATAATTCTTCATAGGATTCAGCTCTCCCAGACTTTATCCTGTGGTGTTCCATAGGTGACTTTGGGCATCCAGAGAAACTGAGGCTGGGAAGTTACAGGTGGGACTGAAGGGGGGACCTTTTTTTTTTCACTTCCTGACGAGGATGGTTTGGAAATAGTAAACACTGGGATAAAGCGGGAGTGTGTGTATGCGGGCACAGGTGCTCATGTAGGACTCTGGATAGGTTCCAGAACATTCCTAGGATGACTTTTTAGTGTTTCTGTGATGCTGGAGATCGAACCCAAGGTCTCACACCTGAAGGCAAGTGCTCTACCTCTGAGCTACATTCCGGGTGCTATGGTGGCTTTTGAATATGCTCTTCTGCTTCGGGTGGGGTGGTGCCGGCCAAAGCATTTCTCGGGGGCCACTCACAGGGGGTCTCGGCCCCCAGGCCAGCAGTCTAGTGCGTGGCCTGAGTTCCAGCTGGGTCTGGAACAGGTCAAGCACCACCAAGTGTTTCAAAAGTAAACTGTGGGTGTGTCTAGGGTGGACAGGAGGTGACCTGCGTGCGCGCGTGCACACACGCGCGCGTGCGCGTGCGCGCGCGCACACACACACACACACACACACACACACACGGACACGCAGTGCCTGTGCAGTCAGGTATTTCCCCAGGAGGAGCTAATGTGGGCCCCAGCAGAGCGGGCAGCAGTGCATGGCTAAGCTGGAGCTGGGGCAGGGCCACGGCTGCCGGTTCTGGGGGTCACGCCGGGTGCGGCCTGAGGCTGGCAGGCCAGCGCTAGTGCCAGCTGCATGCCCAACAGCCCTCTGCTGCCACCCCCCCGAGACTCCAGGCGCCGTGTTCTCCCTTCTCTTCCAGTTCTTCTCGTGCCTGGTGATGATTGCGTACGGCGTGAGTTCTTTCTTCAGCTTCCAGGCCTGGCGGGGAGTGGGCAGCAACGCGGCCACCAGTCAGATGGCCGGGGGCTACGCCTAAGCCCCCGAACCACGCGGCCCACCTGGGTGAAGGCTGCACGGCGCTCATCAGACTCGTTTGCCCAGTCCCGAGGACCCGGGATCCCGCCTCTGGGCTGGCCCGTGACTGAGGGGCCAGAAGAGGCCAAGGGCTGAGGCCTCCTCCCTGCCCTTCTCGTTCAGCAGAAGGCGACAGGGACGTGGGCTCTCACTGTCTCTGCTTTGCCCTCAGAGGATGTCCTGTCCCCAGCCGACCCTTGTCCTCCAGCCAGCACTAATGCACTAACCAGGTCCCCCACCCCCAGCCCCGCCCGAAACCGCACGCCCCCTAGAAGCCTAACAAGCCGAGTGTATTGACCCGAGTCCGTTCTGGGAGTCCCTTGAAGCTCCCCTCCTGCCCTGTATGTGCCTGTCGGGGGGCATCTGGAGAGAGTGGGGTTCTGACTTCCGGGCACAGCCTTCCTTCCTGCCATCTAAACACGCCGGTGATGACAGCTGGCGGGCGGCCCTGGCTCAGAATGGGCCCCCGGGGAAGGGCCAGCCCCAGGGCCACCTGCTCCCCTGCTCTGTTGATTGGGCACCAGGGACACAGCAAGGGAGGGCGGTGGGAGCCGGCCTGGTGAGTGCCATGTGCTCGGGGGTGACTCTGTTTTCTTAAAAATAAACACGGAAAAGCCTATTTGGAGAAGATGCTGGCAAGTCGTGATTGCGGACGCTAATAACCTCCGGGGGCGGGGGTGGGGGGCTGCAGGCCATTCCCGCTTTCTTCCTCGCTCCAGATTCAGCCACTAGTAGCTTCCTGCGAGGGGATGGCCGCCTTCCTGCCAGCTCAGCCTGGGGGAGGACTGATTCTTGCATTTGTCTTGGCTGTGCGTACAGTCACACCGCCTCTGATCCTCAAGGGGACCCCACTGTAAAGGTTGCCTAGCTCTCCGAGCTCTAGACAGATGAGGTCACTGTGTGGAGCTTAGCATTTCCCTCAAGTCACCTACCTTGAAAGTGTGAAGTTCAGAGGTCAGGGTTCAGGTAAGCAAAGCAACTAAGTCCTCCATGGGCTGGTTCTACTACCACAGCACTCTGAGCCCGCAATACCAGAAGCCAAGGGGGTATCTAGGCATCTTTTAGGTTTTTAATTTTTTTTCCAAAAAAAACCCCAAAACCAAAACAAACCCCAAACAAAAAACTAGTAATAATAGAGCCAGAGCTGTAGCTCAGAGAGAAATAGAGCACAGTGTTTGCATTACATATGTGAGGCCCTGGTTTGAATCTCTGGCAAACTGTCACTGATCTCCCGTTGTTCATTGATTCGAGTGGGCACCAGTAAAATCTCCATTGTAAGACTTGTTACTGTTTTTGGCATATTGAATACACCACGGGGAGCCTGCCAGGCTGTCAGGCGGGTGGTCTACTCTTAGTAGCTTGCCAGTCTCTCCGAGAGGAAAGGAGGAATCGAACCCAGGTCGGCATACAAGGCAAAGGCCCTAACTGCTGTGCTGTCGCTCCAGCCCATCTTGGCAACAGAAAAAATAATTCTAAACTAGAAATAATTCCAATGTACCTATATTTAGGAGTGGAGAGACAGGAGTGGGGGAGTTCACCTTAACTGTGGTCTGACCTCCTGCCTCGGGGCCCTTGGGCCCCACTAGAAATCACCTAAGCACCCCTGGGTGCCACATGCCCACCCCTGCCAGTTATGGTCATTCCTCGTCACCCAGAAGGGAGTTGAGGTTTTGTTTTTGGGCCACAGCCGGCCTGCTTAGGACTTTCTCCTGGCTCTGGGCTCAGAGCTCACTCCTTGTGGTTCTCAGGGGAGCATATGGGATGCCGGGGATAGAACCCAGGCCCATGCACAAGGCAAACATAGTACAGTATCCGCTGTACTATCGCTCCAGCCCCCTTTGTTGTTTTTTAATGTTTGGGCCATGCCTGGTGGTGCTTTGGCTCCACTCCCATGGAACATGCACTCCAGGCCTTTCCAACCATCTTCCTGGGTCAAGATTTTTTTTTTTTTCAGTGTTGGTGTTGAATGTAGGGTCTCATACATGCAAGGCAAATGCTCTATCTTTGAGCCAGGAGTAAGCCCTAAAAGTTAAGCTTTTAATTTTTTTTTTTTTTTTTGCTTTTGAGCCATACCTACAAGTGCCCTTGGCGTACTCCTGGCTCTGCCCTTGGGGGGATCATTCCTAGCAGGGCTTGGGGGCCCACAGGGGGGACCGGGGATCGAACCTGCGTCGTGCCTTGCCTGCTGTACTCTTTCCAACCCCACCAAACTTTAGCTTTAAAGATCAGCTCATTTTTGAACCCACCAGACAAGTCTTACAGGGTCCCCCCTCACCTGAAACTGTTTCTGTGGCGATGCTGAGCTACTGAATCCGACATCGTCACCTGGTTTAGGGCGAGCAGGTGCTGGGTGGACAGTCTCCCATGGGGAGGCTGAGCAATGGGAGGATGACCGTCCAAGGGGGACAGAGAACGGCAGTTCCCCTTCTCAGGCATGGGTGGCACTGATGCCACGGCCCTTGTGTGGAGAGAGAGATTTTTAGCCTGTTCTAAAATGAACCAGGAAGGGTCCTGGAGTGAGAGTATAGAGGCTAAGGTCCCTACCGTGAACCCAGTTGATGGGGTTTGATCCCCAGTGCCCCATATAATTCCCATCCACACCAGGAGTGATTCTCGAGCGCAAAGCCAGGTGGAAGTCCTGAACCCCATGGGGTGTGGCCCCCTGAAAGCCAATCTCCTAGTGTTAAGACGCGCTTGCACTTCCCTGAGTGGGGAAGGGTGAATGGACTCCTTGCTTCCCTCTGATTCATTCTTCATTCACCTGCCCCCTGAACGTGCCCATTTGTCTTTTCCCAGACAGAGTAGCCAGTGGGTCATGCCCGCCTGCAATGGGCAGTCCTTCCAGAGCATTAGGGGCAGGGAGAGGGGCACCGAGAAGCTGCCCTTGGAAAGCTCAAAGGGTGCTACCCTGCTGGCCACAGCGACTGTGAAGGAAGAAAGGAGGTGAGTCCTTGAGAGTGACGGTTCTTGTGGAATAGCTCGTTTTACTACAGTACAAAAGTATTTAATAAGAGACACACCCATACAGGAGAGCACAGCCTATAGGTCATCCTTCAAAACTTCAACAAGCCAAGTAAAAAGTTCGTACAGATTATTTAAAAAAAGGAAACTTGGAAGGCCCATATTGGGATCGGAATGACTGTTCTAACATAACCCCGTCTCTACGTGTGGCCTGTTGTCCAGCACTGCTCTCTGCCCCGGGACGGTGGGGGCAGCAGGTATGCTGGCCCAGCGAACACCATCTTGGTAGGAGGCCTCTGACAGGATGAGGGAACTGCAGGGCCTTGCCAACAGGAAAGCCAAAGAACGGACTTCTGCAGAGAGGGTCTGAAGTACAAACCTGCGCCAGCACTCAGCACGCTGTAAGACAAGGAGTCTGGTTGGCTCCCGCATAAGCAAGGAGTCCCGGCACCCAGCACGTACGAAGGGCAGCGGAGAAGGCGTCTCTGCAGCTTCCACGGCACTGACCCGAGAAAGCGCACGGCACAAAATACTCTGATCTCGAAGTGGGTGATCGGGAAAGACCCAAGGTGAGATCTACTGGGTAGCCCGAGTGTTCATCTCTAAAACCTTTTTTTTTTTTTTAACAAAACTGCTTGAAAGAGAGCGCTAGAAACTGTGGGGCTGCAGCAGAGCCAGCAGACGGGACCGTGATGCAAGACTGCAACTAGAAGACGCAGGACTGATGTTCACAGGGAGCTTTCAGATCAAGGATGTTTCTCTCCACCGACTCCTCAAGCCGAGACTGGCTTGGTAAGAGGACGGAGCCTCAGGAACCCCAAGACAGGCAGCTGACTTGAGGGACACCAAACCCCACTGAGGCCGCAGGACTAAAACTCGGGGGGTGCTTCTAAGATTGAGTGCACAGAACAGATGCATGCGGGGACCAGTTATGGCGCTGCTGGGTTCTTCCTTCCACGGTGGGACACTCCGACACTAGGAAGGGACCCCCAAGGGGGGATGCTTGTGGACACAGAAGCCAGAGAGGCTCCAGCGTTACTGAGTACGAAACAGGGTTTTGGGAGGGTCAGGTGGGTCTGCTCTGCCCCAGCAATACTTAACGTTAACGAAGACCCGTGGGGCAGTCGGGCTTTCTGAGACATAGTGCTGTGCAGTCACGAGCTGACGCGGCTCCCAGGCCTCCGAGGGGCTGCTGAGAACCCGCCACGCCTGCAGGTAGGACCTATGACCGCAGGTTGTTCTGGGAAGCGGGGACAGTGGATGACTTGCACAAGGACGTCACCACCAAACCACTGCTCAAGTCCAGTCCCCGGCCTTCTTTCTCCTATGTGGAACAGAAAGAATTTCATGAGGAAAAAGGGGAAATCGTGAGCGCTCTTAATAGCTATGAACCCTGGCATCGGAAGGGGCTGGTCAGCGGGAGGGTGGGCTACCACGGGGACACGTGGAACAGGGAGGAAGTCATTTTGCATTTTGGCTCAGCACAGATGGGGTCACTCATTTAAAAATAATTTTCTTTGGGGGCAATACCCAGAGGTGCTGAGGGGTTACTCCTGGCTCTGCACTCAGGAATTACTCCTGATGGTGCTCGGAGGACCGTACCAGATGCTGAGGACTGAACCTGGGTTGGCTGTGTGTAAGGCAAACACCCTCCCCGCTACCCGCTGTACTATAGCTTTGACCCACACTCTCCTCTCCAAACTAACTTTCTTCACTAAAGAACATTTGTTGTTCCTATTGAGAGAACAATGCAGGTTGAGAGCTGCTGTTTGAGTTTGGGCCGGCTTCACCCAAACCGGAGAATGAAACAGTTTGGTTAGGATCCAGGCTGGGCCGAGCACATAGGCTCACTCTCCTGATGCCTGGCTCACTGCCTGCCGGCCAGCCTTCTCCGAGGAGAGGCCGGGGCGCAGAGTGACGGTTCTCCCGAGAAACTCCTTCAGAGGGGCAAGGCAAAGGAATGGCCAGAGTGACTTACAGCTCTGTAGTCCAGGAACATTTCCTTAAAAGCCAGGAAATCCGTAAACGTGAGCAGCATGTCGAAGATGTCACCAGCCACTTCATCTTTGTGGTGCCTGCAGAGGGTCAAGGTGGGCTGTGTGAGTGACCGCACACTCCTGCCCGCTCCCTCAAGGTGGGCTGCGGTGTGGGTGACCACACTCCCAGCCTCTGAGGGCCTCCCACCCCATCCTGACCAGTAGGAGTCTAAGCATTGGTGCTCATGCAGGGAGAATCTAGCGCATGGAGGAGAGAAGAGAAGAGGACGGGGGTGGGCAGGGTGCAGCCATGCTGGCCGGGACGAGCCCCACTCACTGTAAGGTCGTCGTGAACGCTGCCATGTTGAACCCTGGGATCCGCTCCACCAGCTGCTGTTCGATATACTTTTCTACCAAAGAAATCTACGAGCAGGAAAGACCTGGGGTCAGACAGCACGTTAGGAAAACAAGGCCTGCTTCTACAGGAAGCCTGAGCTCCGGTGTCAGACAGCCCTACGCTGAGTGCCGGGGGAAGACCCCAGACAGATGCAGACCCGGCTCTGGGCACAGGGAGCGCTGCCGGGCCTGGCCTGGCCTGCCTGCGGGCAAGGGGCATCCACAGGCAGTTCAAGGGCAGCGAACGAGAGCTCAGAGGGGTGCAGAGACAGCTCCAGGTCCCACGACCCTAGGACAGGAAGTGGGGGCTTCTCTGTCTGGGTAGAATCTCTGCGAAAAGAACACCCCAAACAGTAACATTAGGTTCACACACAGGGGCAGCCCCAGGTTCCTTCATCCGAGTGGACCTTCTCTGTTCCGAGCCATAGGCTGGGGCTGGAGTGATAGGACAGAGGGGAGCGCTCCTGCCTTGCGTGCAGCCAACCCAGGTTCGATCCCCAGCACTGCAGATGGTCCCCCAAGCCCATCAGGAGCGATCTCTGAGCAGTCAGGAGTAAGCCCTTCAGCACTGCTGAGAGTAGCCCCCAAACCAAAAACAACAACAAAGATTAGTGGAGGTATAAATCTATCCTCAAGAAATGAGATCTTCCACGAAGTGTTCTGAGGGTCAAAAAGGTTCTGGGGGCTGGAACAGTAGTACAGTGAGTAGGGAATTTGCTTTGCAGGCAGCCAACCTGGGTTTGATCCCCCGCATCCCATATGATCTCCTGAGCGCAGCCAGATGATTCCTGAGTGCAGAGCCAGGAGTAACCCCTGAGCATCGCCAGGTGTGACACAAAAAAAAAAAAAAAAAAGGCTGAGGTTCCTGGTGGGCTGGAGTCATAGAATAGCAGGGAGGGTGCTGCCCTGTACACTGCCAACTTGGGTTTGATCCCAGGCCCCCATATGGTCCCCCGACCCCACCAGGAGTGATTCCTAAGTGACAAGTTTGAGCATCACCTGGTGTGGCACCAAAACAAAATAAAAAAAATATTGAGGTTCCAGAGTTCAAGTCTTGGTTTTTTTCAGCAGCAAGATAGCAATTTGCCAAACAATGCCTTTCTTTTTTGGACAGGAAGCAGGATTTATAGGGATTGGGGCAGGGGACTCAGCAGGGGCAGCTCCAAGGCGCTCAGGAAATTGGTGCCTCCCCACCAAGTTCATGATCTGGGTCTCAGTTTTCACTTAACAGATATGAGCACGGCTTTAAGCCGGATGTCTTTAATGTCTTTTAAAAGAGAAGCTCATAAGAGGCCCAAGAGATAGTATAGTGGTTAAGCCTTGCATGTGGCAGACCTGGGTTTGAACCCTGGCATCCCATATGGTCCCCTGAGCACTTCCTGTATTCAGTAGTAATTCCGAAAACTGCCCAGCGTGGCCCATAAACCAACCCCTCCCCGCTCCAAAAATGTTGGTGAAATATTTGGGAAACAGCCTCAAGAGCTGAGGAAAGAAAGAAATGACAGGCTAGAAGGAAACTCCTCCAATTAGAATTTCAGGTATTGTACTAAGAAAACCTAATTAGAAATCCACTTACATATTCATTTAGAAATTCAATTAGAAGTCCACTTACATATTCATTAAAAATTGGCGTGTAGGTGAGTTTATTCTCTTCTGTGTCTTCAAACTCCTGGTAGTACTTATCCATGAAATTTCTCTGTAATAATTGGAACTCATCATCTGAACAACAATGGAAAAAAATCGATCATTTCTTTTGTACTTCCAGATCCTGTCAGCACATTCCCCCCCAATTCTCAGAAAAATAAGTCAATAATGATTTTTTTCTCAAGTTTGCCCCCTCCTCCCCCTACCATTTGTCTTAAAATGTTGGTGCTGGTTACTACAGGGCTTATGGATGTAAACTGGATTCACAGATAAAGAATGCAGGACCCAGGAAAATTCAGAACACCAGTGAGTCTGACACTGTGCTTCCTTCATGGACATAATCTACATTTTTTTTTGGGTCACACCCAGTGATACTCAGGGGTTACTCCTGGCTCTGCACTCAAGAATCACTCATAGAAAACCCCCTAAAAATAAAAAGCAAAACAAAAAAAGGGGCTGGAGCGATATCACAGAGGGTAGGGCATTTGCCTTGCACACGGTCCATCTGGATTCGATTCCCGGCATCCCGTATGGTCCCCTGAGCACTGCCAGGAGTGATTCCTGAGTGCATGAGCCAGGAGTACTCCTGTGCAATGCCTGGTGTGACCTCCCCCCCCCCCAAAAAAAAAAGCATTACTCCTGGCGGTGCTTGGGGGACCATTTGGGATGCTGGAGATTGAGCCTGGGTTGGCTGGGTATAAGGCAAACGCCCTACCCGCTGTCCTATTGCTCTGGCCCCTACAGTTATTTTAAACTGTGTTTTAAGGCATGGAGATGTTTCATGCTCAAAGGTCCATGTTTTGGGAAGTACTGCCAAAAGCCCTGTAACTTCCAACTTGCATTCTGTTACCTGAACAAGTCTTCCCAAAGGCCTGGGAATCTATGGCTAGTGGTTGTTTTTTTAAGGAGTACCGGGATGTCTGCTTCAAAGACAAACCACAGTGAACCAGCATAATGTACTGTGAGACAGCAACAACTGTATGTAGCTTGATGTTGTTTCTTAAAAATAGAGCTCCGAGTTCATTGCAGCACCCTTCAAAGCAAGAGTCTGAGAGTTAAACAAAGCCCAGGTCAAGTGGACGCTTACCCATGATAATGTCCTCTAAATACCCAACTACGGCATCAAATTCTGCATCAGAGGCTGAAGAGCTGGAAAACAGGCCGGTAATTTAATTGCTGTTTCAAGTAAGTTAAAACAACCCCTCCCCCCCCCCCCTCCTTCCCCGCCCCTCAATCACCTAGGAGCCCGAGTGATAGTCCAGTGTGCGGTAGGGCGCTTGCCTCGCACAGCAGCCCACCTGATTTCAGACCCCGGCATCTCATATGCTCCCGGAAAGCCCAGCCAGGGGAAAGCCCTGAGCACAGCCAGGTGTGTGCCCACCCCACCCCACCCCTCAAAAAAGAGAGAAAACTGGTGGGGGGGGGGGAAGGATAGATAAGAGACAGTGTCAAACATGCACTAAAACCAAAAAGGCGCGCGAAGCCCAACTCCCAACAATTCAGAAGGCGGATTCTCTCAGCTGGCCCAGCAGAAGCCGACACAGGGTGGGCGGGCGGCACCCACGTGGGAGAAGGCAATGCCCGGGTCCGCTGCTTTCAGGGAGAATCCGGGGCGGGCAGGAGGAACGCCACGAGCGCACCTGGGCCCAGGAGGGCGGCGGCGAGGATGCTGCAGGGGCCACTCCCCGCATCCCCGCGACCACCTGTGCGCCCAGGGCGCGCGCACCCCGCGCGGGGGCCAACGACGGGGCGTGGGGTTGGGGGGCATTTGGACCTGAGTCACGCCAAAGGGAGGTGCGGCGGGGGGTGGGGGGTGGTTAGTTTGGGATCCGTGGCCCCGGCCGGGGCAGCTCAGGCGGGGGCTGGTTAACGGCCAAGGCTCAGGAGCGGGAAGGGGGTGGCGGAGGGGGCGCAGACCCCGTCCTGGGGGACCCGGGGAACGGGGGCGAGGTCGTGGCGGGACCCCCCTCCCCGCGCCCTCCCGCACTCACTAGGACAGCGCCAAGCTCTCCTCCTCCAGAGTGTCCATCGCCGCCGCGCACCCCTCCCGGGCCGCGTCCACCCCGAGTCGGGGGGCCCGTCGCCCGCTGCCCAGCCCCGGCTCAGCTCGGCCGAGCCCCACCGAGGCCGCGGGCGGCTGCCGGCAGCGCCGGCTGAGCGCCTGCACGCGAGGCCCGGCCTCAGCTCCCCGCGCCGCGGCCTCGCGACCACGGCCGGGCCCCCCTCGGCCGCTGCCGCCGCAGCGCGCCCCGAACCGCCAGCGTCCGTTAAGGACCGCGCCGTGCCCCGCCTCCCGTCGCCTAGGCGACCGCGGCCGCTTCCGCCGCCCTGCGGCGGGCAGCAGCCAATCACAGGGCCACGTCGCCCGGGCCGGGGGCGGGGCGAAGTCTGGGAGCGGAAGTGAGCAAAGGGATGGAGCGCTCACCACCAAAGGGGGTTGGTGCGGGCATCCGCGAGCCGGACCTCCGGGGGCGCGGAGACGGGGCCAAGGGCCACGGGGCCACTGCAGCGCACACAGCTGTTTTATAGAAAATACCGAAGCCCAGAGTGTCCGTTTCTTCAGTTGCAAGTTGGGATGGACTGACAAGACGGAGTCGTTTCTTAAGGCAGGCTTTAAGAGCACGAGTCTTACCTGGCAAAACTCGCGTGGCTGGCTCGGGTTTTGAAACTGAGCATGCAGAGACGTCGGGTTTGCAAGGCTGTTCCTCCCTCTCGTGGAAGGAACGCCTCAGTGCAATGGAATATGCACATCTCTACATGCAATGGTTGGACAGGAATTGGTTTTCTTGGGTTCACCGGGCATGGTAAAAGCTGACAGAACCACTTGGAAGAAGTTAGTCAGAAAAAAGTTCCCTCTGAAACGGTCATATTTTGCGAAAAGGACTTTATAGAGTTGATTTCACAATTCGATCACTACACATGGTAGGGTTGCATGAATGTATGACATATTAAAGGGATTTTGACTGTGGTTTAAGTTTGATCTGTGGTTAGATGGCAGCCAGAATGATTGGAGATATCTTTTAATATAAAATAGCTATTAGCGGACTATAAGGTATTTCACAAAATACTCTGCTTTGTGACAATCAGAAGGCGGGCATCTAAACGTGTTTATGGAACCAAGTTCTGTTTAAATCAAGGAATGATTACAAAGCCCAATGCAAACTCAGAAAATATTCTAAAGACCTATTTTCTCTACAAACCACACTTCTTTTGAACTAAATAAAAGTGTCCACTCAATTGATAAAAATATATGGGATCCAGGAGGACCTTCTAGTCTTTGCTGCTGCTAGAAAGCACTAAAAAACTTTGCAACTTAACACAAGTATACAATTTAAATAAAAAATATTATATATATGTAAAAATCGCTTTTTGGGTCACACCTGGCAATGCTCAGGGGCTACTCCTGGCTCTGCTGAAATTACTCTGGGGACCATATGGGATGCTGAGGATCGAACCTGGTCAGCTTCATGCAAGGCAACCTACCCACCCACTGTGCTATCACTCTGGCCCCAATTTAACTGAAATTTAAATTAAATATTTTAAAAATATTTGCTGACTTTGAAACATGAAAATTATTTTCTGCTAACAAAAAAACTGTTTTGGTTCCTACAATGGTATCTTTGCTCCTCTGGCATTCTGCAAACGTACTTTTAGCTTTATCAGCGTCATCCGTAAGGGGGGCCCTGTATGTGCACGTGTGTGTGTTGCTGAGGATAAACTCAGGATCTCACACATTCAAGGCATATGAGTGGGGCACGCACAACTCTTTAAAAAATAAAAATTTCCAGCTGGAATTGTTGGGTGCATTTCCTCATATGTTCACTGGAGAAAATGTCACAACTTATTTTTATTTTGTTATTTCCTCTATTATAATATACTAGCAGTAAAAGACTAGCTTCCAACTTCACTCGAAATGCTTACATCAGTATGGCCTGGGATGTGGCTCCATGGTAGAGCACAAGCTCTGTCTGCATGAATCCTGTGTGTTTGCGGGTTTAAGCCCAGACACTGCAAACAAATACTATTACCTATGTTAAAACAAATGAGGCCAGAGAGAGACAGTATAAAGGGCAGGGCATTTGCCGGATATGCTGCTGACCCGGGTTCACAAATGGTCCCCAGGACACCACCATGAGTAATTCCTACTGAGCAGAGCCAGGAGAAACCCCTAAGCACCACTGGGTGTGGCCCAAAAACAAAACAAAAAAGGAGGAAAATTTCCAGGGGGGTGCTTATATATATATATATATTTTTTTTTTTTCCAGTAGGCCAAATAAGTTGGGAACCTACTGGTCTATTACTTAAGAACTGGAAAAGAGACCAACTTAATTAAATTCAAGGATAAATTTCTACTAAGCCAATAGACTCCCACATTCCTTTTGGACTTATTACCTATTCATTTCATTTATTCCATCTCCCTGAATTCATAGGCCACCTTCACCTTTGCTGAATTACTATTTTCCTTACTGATAGATCTCATTTTAGCAACGCTCTCTCCAGCTTCCCATGTCCTTTGCACCATTCAAACACAAGCACGGTCATCTTTTGAAATCATCATGGACTTTCATGTTTAAAAGGCTTGTTTTCTATTGCACTTAGGGCAAAATACAGGATTTGTAAGATGGTCTTCGGGAGTCGTTCCCTGGCCTCTGCCAACACTGGAGCACACCCATTCATTTTTGTCATTTCTGGAGGGTTTTGGGCCACACCCAATGCTCAGGGGTGATTCCTGGCATTGCTTGGGGGACCATATGTGGTGCCTCAAATCAAACCAAGGTAAGCAGTGTGCAAGGCAAGTGCTCTGGCCCCAGAGGACACCATTTGTCACCAACTTTTTTTTTGGGGGGGGGGGGGTCACACCTGAGGATGCTCAGGAGACCATATGGAATGCCGGGGATTGAACCTGGGTCGGTCTTGTGCAAAGCAAACGCCCTCCCCGCTGTACTATTACTCTGGCCCTGGTTCCTTTTCTTGAAGCTATAGGAGTTTTAACATCGTGTCCTGAAACCCACTGTGCTCTTTTCCACATTAATGTCTTTGCTTATGTGCTGTGTTCATTTAGTTACACAGATCGAGAAGCGTATCCTCATGAAGCCTGATCATACCCTTCTTTACCTCTCTCTCTCTTAATTAGGGCCCACCTGTAGCGATGCTGGGGTCCGGTGGAGCTCCCAGTGCTGGGGGCTCTAACTCAGGCTAAGTCTCTGTTCTATCACTTCAGTCATCTCCCTGGCCCCTCTCCTTTAAGTTTGCACTATATTTATTTCCTTGAATAAGGTTTCTCTGGTCCCCATCTAGATTCTCTCTCATGGCACCCTAGTCTTTCCTTTCAGGGCACTGAAAATGTACCACAACAAAGACAAATTATCTACTCCCCCACACCAGACATAAGCTCTAAGAAAAGGAATTCCATATATTACCATAGGCAGCTTGTCCAGAACATATTAGGTGCTCAGTAAAGACTCACCATATGAAAAAGTGCTTAACCTTGCTGCGTCTTTCTAATACTTGATTCTCTCCCACCCTGGATAACACTCTTTATTTATTTATTTTTGCTTTTTGGGTCACACCTGGCGATCCACAGGGGTTACTCCTGGCTCATGCACTCAGGAATTACTCCTGGCGGTGCTCGGGGGAGCATATGGGATGCTGGGAATCGAACCCGGGTCAGCTGCATGCAAGGCAAACGCCCTACCCGCTGTGCTATTGCTCCAGCCCCTAACACTCTTTAAATTAGAATATAATGTCTTAGAATCTTAGCAGAAGGCACCAATAAAAGTTATAAAATCTTAGTCAAAAAAGGCAAGAAATGTTTTATTCTTCAATGCAAATTACTGTATTCACCACAAGCTAGAGAACATATATATGCATACATGTATACATACATATACATATATATGTATATATATATATATTATATTTTTCTTTTTTGAAACTATGGAAGACTGAAGACATGGAAAAACATCCAGCACCCCAACAAGTACGGTCAGGAAGAAAATCTGTTTGTCATAGAATGGTTTAATGAAATCCAAACAAGAAGGGGTGGGGAAATAAGAAAAAGTGTGCGTTGAGCTTAAGACACTGTAAAACTCAGAAGACATATTTACTATTCAAGTATAAACTCAGTAAGGACTTGGCATCAATTGAAAGGCAGCTGCTGAGGTACACCATTATAAAATAACTTCTAGGAATTTACAATTCTACCTTCCAATTTTCTGGGAGAAAAAACAAACAAACTCTTGAAGGTCTTCACCAGAGCCCCTGAGAGGGCGAACACTTTCGATGAAGACACAGTCAACAATCCATGACTGAACTCACTATTCAAAAACATGTATTTATTTGAAACAACAGAAATATGTGCTCTCAGACAGTCCTCTAAGAGTTTTTTGGAGACTATTAGTTCAAGAGTTTTAAAGTAGATTACTTCCAAAAACAATACTGATTAAAAAACAAAACAAAAAACAAAAACCTGATTTGATGGTACCTTAAAAATACCCTAAATACCAAATTTTCTTCAGTCTAATATTGCAATTAAGAACTCCACCTGCATTGTTCAAACATTTCTTCCTCACAAAATGTGGGTACTGACATTGGATAGAAACACCATGAATGTGAAAATACCACCGATTTTCTGCAGTTAAAAAAAACTAGAATGTTCTTTGGAATCACTGAAATATAAAACATTTGGGTTTTCTTCTACAGTCTGTGCGCCTTCTCAGGTCCTCTGCGTCGCTTGTCGGATTGACCTGTGTGATTCTAGGTTCAGGTTCAAGGCTCGAAGTGCAAGATCCGTGCTGACACAGGTGTCTTCTCTGACCAACAGGAAGTATGTTTAACCCAGAAATGCTGTCATTATTTCTCCATAATGACTTTGCCCAAAATAAAAACTTCAGAATATGACACAAAACATCCCATGTTAAACAATCAAATGAACCCAACGTGGAGAAATTCTGGTCTGGTTCCAGCACTCAGGAGGGCGGGCTCCTACTGTTTTCTCATGGAAGTACCATAGGCCTTTGTGAGCACTCAGCTTTCCTGGGCCTTAAAAGGAATTTCTCAGGGCTGGCAAGTTGGGTTAGATACTAAAAGAATTTTGTAATTTTGTCTTTGACAAACTACCGCTTTTAGCATAAAATCTGGGCATGGCTATACGTTTCAATGTGCGTACAACTGATTAGAGAATTTTTTCTTTGTTTTTTTTTTTTTTTCTTTTCAGCATTGGCTGGAATTGAGTAGAAACAAGTCCGTGGTGCTGCTTCCCGTGTGTCATGAGATATGGGAAATCTGTCTGACTCTAGTCACTATTTCCTTACGGCACAATGGGCAGGTCTCCAGCTGCAAGGCACAATCCATGCACAGGTCGCTGAGGAGAAAGGCAGAGACGACAATTAGGTGGATGTCACCGCAGGTCACACTGCTGACCTGCTGTTTCCATCCCAAACCTCGGAGCGTCATGCTTACACATGGCTAAAAATCAAGGTAAGACAGGGAGGAAAATGTCTCCGTACTTTTTTTTTTTGCTTTTTGAGCTACACCTGGTGATGCTCAGGGATTACTCCTGTCTCTGCAGGGCACCCTATGGGATACCAGGGATGGAACCCGGGTTGGCTGTGTGCAAGGCAAATGCCCTCCCTGCTGTGCCATCACTCCAGCCCCCGCCCCATGTAGTTTCATTTAATCTTCACTGTTGTCACATCCTCCCCCACTTCCCTTCATTGCTGGTGTCAGTACTGTGATGACCAGAGGTGACACACTCGTGTGGCTGTGGTGCATGTACAGTGTTAGCTGTGGTGCTCACACACTTGGCCACGGGAGTTGGAAATCACACTCCTTGAAGCAGTGCTCGTTGGGGGCAAGCTTTTTGTTTTGTTTAGTTTTTTGAGTTATACATGGAAGTGCTCAGGGCTCACTCCTGCCTCTGTGCTCAGGAATCACTCCGGAGCCTTGGCTGTTGAGTGATCTCTTGAGCCGCATGGGTTGGACATTTTTGTTGAGGCACACATATCCCAGATGTAGTGTTCACATATGTGCTTGCGAGAGGTCATACTTCCTGGCTGTAGGACTGAACATGCTTTTTTGTTTTGGGGCCATACTGGAGGTGCCCAGAGTTTACTCCTGGCTCCATGCTTGGGGATTACTCCTGGTGGGTTCAGTCGACTAAATAGGGTGCCAGGGACTGAACCCAGGTTGGCTCTGTGCAAGGCAAATGTCCTACCACTGTCATGCTCAAACACACCCGTGGTATAGCCAGAAATCACTTTGCGGTGCTAGAAACTGTAGACAGCATAGCTGCCAGGATCTTGGATCCACACATAGGGGCCAACTGAGATCTGAACTCATGACCACGTGCTGCAAGACAGATTTGGTAGGGTTTTCTGGGTCAAGTGAATAACCACTCAATGAAAGCCACGTAAGGTCGCGTACAGGAGAAGTCAAGACCTCCAAGCTTTGGGAGGTGGAGCAACAGTACAGCGGGGAGGGTGCTCGCCTTGCATGGACCATTCCAAAGAGTAACTGAGCCCTGCCAGGAGTGCTCCTGAAGTGCAGAGCCAGGAGCAGCCCCTGAGCATCTCCGGGAGTGGCCCAAATTCCAACCAAACAACCCCCGCCCTTCATCCACCCCCCCCCCCTTTCATCCCACCTTAAAAACTATGCACCTCTTTGTGAGGCTCTGCTAACTAAAACCTCCAAGAGTGCTCAAACTGAAATGTTTTTGAGTCGAAACCAAGGGCTGGAGCTCTTATGCCTGCTGTTCAGAGGACTGGGGAAATGAGACAAGTGGGACAGACCCCCCGAAACAGCAAGTCGGGTCAGAACACCCTCAGAGGGCATGCACGGGGCTGCACTGAGGGAGCGGGCCTGGAGCAGCAGCACAGCCAGTCTCCTGCCCAACACCCAGCACACACGCCCACGGCCTCGCCCCTTCCGAACGCAGCTGGGAGGGCTTCCTGGAGACCATCTGACTTGCTGTGCTCACTGGCGGTGACACACAGAATTCTATGTTCCATAGAATTCAAGTTGCTTTCTGGGTTTTTCCTGAGGAACAGTTGGCTAAATAAAAGGGAGGTTCTGCTTTCAACAACAGAAGGTGGGGCCGGAGCAGTGGTACAGTGGGTAGGGCTTTTATTTGCCTTGCACAGGCTAACCTGGGTTTGACCCCCAGCATCCTGAGCTGGGGCCCCCTGAGCACTGCCAGGGGTAATTCCTGAGTGAGGAGTGATTCCCGAGCAACGCCGGCTGTGACCCAAAAAGAAAAAAAATAAAATGTCAAGCATACATAATTTAGTTTTAGAGGCGCCTTTAAAACAAAATGGAATCACCCAGCATTTAAGCCTTGTGTGTTTTGTTAAGTGAAAGGCAGATGAAAAACATAACAGTGAGTAAACAAAACAAAAACAGATGAAGCAGCTTGATCCAAGTTTCTGGAAGACGGCCATATACTACTCAGCAAACAGACTTTTTTTCCTCCCTGATGGGCCACACCTGGCAGTGCTCCCAGCTTCCTCCTGGTTCTGTGCTCAGGGATGACTCCTGGTGGGGCTTAGGTGACGGGTAATGAAACCTGAATTTCCGGGGCTGGAGCAATAGCACGGCGGGTAGGGTGTTTGCCTTGCATGTGGCCGACCCGGGTTCGATTTCCAGCATCCCATATGGTCCCCTGAGCACCGCCAGGGGTAATTTCCGAGTGCACAAGCCAGGAATAACCCCTGTGCATCGCCGGGTGTGACCCAAAAAGCCAAAAAAAAAAAAAAAAAAAAAGAAAACAACCCAAAAAACCCTGAGTTTCCTGTGCGCAAGGCAAATGCCTACCTGCTGTACTATCTCTCCGCCATCCCCCAGTGCCCACAGACTCTTTTCTCATCCCATCTATGCTGGACATCATGAGCTGGGATGGACAGCCCCGGGGCAATCCCCGTCATTCCGAACAGCAATGTGATGGGCCAAGACCAACGCCATGAGCCAAGACGGAGTGCAGGTGCCCGACCCCTACCTGTGCCCACACGGCCGCAGCTGTGTGTCTGCCGCCTCGTCACAGCACAGGGAGCAGCAGTTCTCCCGGATGCTCACTTGCTTCAGCAGCGCGAGACGTCTGTGCCTGTGGGGACAGCACGGTTTGAATTTGTTCTGCCAACAGGTGACTGGGGCCTGCTGGCAGAGGGACGGCATTAAAACGCTCTGTACAGGTACAGTCTCTACTGGATTCCATAAATTCATTTATTTACTATTACTATTTACTATATGCCAAAAACAGTAACAATAACGGTTCTCATTCCCCTGACCCTGAAAGAGCCTCCAATACGGCAGCGTTGGGAAGGATGAGTAAGGAGAGCCTGCTAAAATCTCAGGGCTGGGGTGAATGGAGATGTTAACTGGCGCCCGCTGGAGCAAATCGATGAACAACGGGATGACAGTGATGACAGTGATACTATTTAGGGAAGCAAGGTGGTGTTCTTTGCTTGTTTCATTTTGTTCTGGGACCAAGTCAGAGCCTTCCAGAAAACCTCTGTGCTGTGAAGGACTCCAGGCCCCTGGCTGGACACCACCAATTAGTGGACATGCGGCGACAGAGCCTCACCCAAGGTCCAGTCACCTCTCCCTGCATCACCACAACCGAGAAAGCACAACCTGATGCTGGGCTCTGCCATTCTCTGTCCGTGCACTGTCCAACGCGTGCTTCTCAACTGCACGTACCCACCGTTCCCCTTCAGACTTACAAGCTTCCCTGAAAACGCTACTAGGAAGACGGCAAGGCGCCCTGACGGTTCCCTGGGATAAACCAGATTCCCAACTTCTCGCCTCAAGGCTTGCTCTGCAGACTGTGCTCAGACATACTTCGCTATGTAAGCTGTTTTCTGCCAGACAGCGTCAATTTTCTGTTCGTTACTGGAATTTGTATGTGTGTGTGTGTGTGTGTGTAGGGGGGGTGCTGGGAATGAGAATTTACTTTTCTTGAAGCCTTACTATGTGCCAGCCACTGTTTTAAATCCTGGAGATTCATAAATGGACATAAGAGTAAACAAGCATCCCTCTTTTCAGGAAAATGATCCCCTACTGCGGGAGAGAGACTGTGGGGAGAGACAATTGATAAAATAAATGGAGCAGTAAGTTCGGAGGCACAGTCAGTGCGGTGTGAAGAAGCAGCAAGGAGAATTTTAAGGGTGAGAGGTGGTTTTCAATGTGACCAGGGAAGAGCTCACCTGAGATGAAGTTTAAGACATGGGGCTGGAAAGAAAGTACACTGGGAAGACCGTGGGCTTGCACACAGCCCGCCTGGGCTCGATTCCCAGCACCCCATATAACCTCCCAGCACCACCAGGCGTGATCCCTGAATACAGAGCTAAGAGTAAGTCCTGAGCACCTCCAGGTCAGGCCCCCAAATAAAGAAAGATATAAAGGGAATGAAGGAGTAAGCCTTGTTATTTGGAGAGAATACCTGTGATATTCTAAATCCAGTAATAAATAGACATCTGGTCTTTGTGCACATTCCTGGCCAGCAGCCAAAAATTCTTGATCTTTTCTAAGGTCAATAATTTTTTTTTTTAATTTTTTTAAATTACCGACTTTTGGAATACCCAGAAGGATATATGCTGGTTGCCAAGAGAGCCAATCCAATGGTTTAAATGGTTGGAACTTTCAGTCCCTCCCCTTTTCTTTTTTTGTTTCACTCGGGACCTTACTCTCCACTCAGAATCACTCCTGGTGAGCTCAGGGGACCCTCTGTGGTGTCAGGGAGTGAACTCAGGTCGGTCACGTGTAAGTTCCCTCCGTGCTGTATTATCTCTGCAGCCCTGGGAAGGGAGGTCTAGAGCCTGCGTTCGCCAGCCGGTGGTTTACTCCATCATTCCAGAATAGTGCAGCCTTCACAGAAACCCAGGATGGTCTCAAGGGCTTCAGGACTGGCAAACACCCGGAGACACCGGGAGAGTGGCCCTGACCGAAGGCATGGCCCTTCCCAGTCCCTTCTGCCAAGCCTGCCCTAGGCCTCTCCCCTTCACAAATGTGAGACTCAATACACAGACATCCTATTTAGATGAGCTTGTGAGAACACACACACTCAGCAAGGGGCAGAACCAAATGTGTCTCACATCTTCACTGGCAAGTGATGCTGCTTCCTTACCCCAGTGGAACAAAGTATTTTCTTTCTAGAACAGCAATAGCTCAGCCAATGAGAATGCTGCACACCTATGAGTCAAAATTCACACAACCCACTCTTTTTTCTAATAAATGAACTTCATCAACACTCTAAGACCTATATAAGCTGGTGTAGACTTTTGTTTTAGGAGGAAAGGTTCAGGTTCCCTATTTTGCCAGGAGACTACACATTCCAAATTTGACTTTTTTGTTGTTCCTGTTTGGGGGCTACACCTGGCGGTGCTCAGAAATCACTCCCGGCGGCTCAGGGGACGATATGGGATGCTGGGAACTGAACTTGGGTCTGCTGTGTGCAAAGCAAATGCTCTCCCCGTTGTACTATAGCTGTGGCCCCCAAATTGGCCTTTCTGTTGTTGTTTTCTACAAGCCCATCTTGTGGATGAAATAACTAATTGCACTGTGTCTGAGGTTGATGGAATAGTATGGTTATCTAGGAAGCACACTGTGCTGCTGAGGTCTGCAGTCTCTAGCAAATAGGCAGAACTTGCGTGGGGGTGGCCACGAGAACCCAGACCTCAACAGCCCATCTGTGAGCAGCACGGGGCATGGGTTGGACTGGCAAGCGGCATCTTAGTGGGAGAAGGGCCAGGGAGCAGTGCAGTGCGGGCCACGTATGTGTCAAATCCAGGTCTGAACTCCATAGAGCAAACCCACATAAAGTGGGAGAAGTGACCAAGAGGACCCGGAGCAAAAGTGCCTCGAGAGGCCCCAAGAATAGCTGGGGTGGCCCTGGTGACCCCTGATTCCGCAGAGCCTAAAAACACTGCATTCTCAGGCAGTGCTCACCTGCATGTCCAGCTGGCCAAGGAGGAGTCACCAGGCCCCCTGATCGTTGTTTGGGAGGACCAAAAACAACAACACCAACAACAAGAATAACAAAACCCCATAAAACAAAAGATTAGGACCAAAAAAATGAAACAAAAATTCTTTGTAAAAAGCAGTGGGTGCTTAGACATTGGTTTTCTTATGAGATGCGTACCAAAGGCTGGCCGATTTCTTACCTTGGCAAAATGATTTTCTCCTCAGCTGTTAGGAAGGCATAGTCATTGAAAGTGCTAAATTTCGTTGATGGTGGATATTTAAATGGTTTTGCTCCAAAATTGAACTCACACTGTTGATATGACATAAAGCTAGCTGCAGCAAAAAATCCAGATCTACAAATGAAAATACAGTAGAGGTCAAGAGAACAGAGTAAAATTCAAACCGAAGTGATTTTCAGAAAATCAGACTGAGTCATTCCCTAAAGAAAGTGTGACTGATTCTTCCTTTCTTTTTGTTTTTGGGCTATACCCAGAGGTCTCAGGACTTACTCTTGGCGCTACACTCAGGAGTTGCTCCTGGTGGTGCTCGGGGGGCTATATGGGATGCTGGGGATCGAACCAGCATTGTTGGTCACATGCAAAGTGAGTACTCTCCCCACTGTGCAGGACGTCTCAGGCCCCTGGAGTAACAGATTCTGTTTATTCAGGACCCTGAACTGGAGAATATTTTGTTTTTGTCTTCCTATACCCAAATTGGGAATAGTTTTAGTTTATGACCAATGGGTCTGTAATTACTTGAAAGAAAATGACTTCTCATTAAAACTGACTACATGAAGTTTTTTCTTTCCTTCTTTTCTTTCTTTGAGAAAAGCGCATTTCGTGTATCTACTCAAATATTCAACCCAGGAGGGCTACTTACACAGTAGATGAAAAGACCTGCTTTTCGGGAGGCAGCTGGTTGCCATTTAAAAAGAAGATCATTTGCTTTTCATTCAAGTCTAACAGAAATCCCACGGTGTCCCCTGGAAGATAAAGGGACACGCTGTTAGTCCGAGGGCGTGCGCCGGGCCAGCTCAGCGTCTTAATGCTGGGTCTGAGGGCGCCATCTGCAGCCATTCATCCTTCCTGCTTCTGCTGCGGCTGAACTGACCCGCACGATTCCCAAGAAGCGCTGCCACGAATCTGACAGGCTGTTACTCCTAAGATACCAGTTTCAAAGAGATTAAACCATGGGAAAGTTCTTCTGGAATCAGTGAAATATGGAAAAATCAGAACCACGAACTTTGTTGCCTGTCTGATGAGATTTAAAACTCTGAGAAAATTGCCCCCAAATCTGTTTTATGTGTTTGTACAGGGGTGTTTCCTGGCAGGGCTTGGCCCAGAGGCAGGAGCCTACAGTGCAGTGCCTGGGGACACCAGTGCCAGACACACCTAGGGGTGGGCCCAGGGGTCCCCAAGGACCACGTCTCTACTCTTCCAAAACATCTTTTCAAAAATTTGATCTCCGAGAATGAAAGATTTTTCTTGATTAAATTATCAAAGAAAAGCATATGAAATTACAATGATACTCAATGCTGGTTAAGGAATAAGCAAAATTTGTAAAGCAAGAGCCTGGAAATTCTCTATGCTCTTTGCCAGAAAGGTTCCCCTTGTAAGGACTACTCTGGAGACGATCTAGAATGGTCTATAGCGCTTTTTATATAATAATAATTTTTAAAGGCAAAAAAAATGCCACGGATCCAACATGGTTGGCCCCATGCAAAGCAAGCACCCAATCTGTACTATTTCTCTGGCCCCAGTGCTATTAACTTGGAAAGTTATTTAGGGCATATTAAATGAATGACAAAAAATACATACATTAAACTTTTAAGTATTAAAAATATCTCTGGGGACCAGAGCGATAGTACAGCGGGTAGGGTGTTTGCCTTGCACACGGCCGACCCAAGTTCGATTCCCAGCATCCCATATGGTCCCCCAAGTAGTGCCAGGAGTAATTCCTGAGTGCAGAGCCAGGAGGAACCCCTGAGTATTGCTGGGTATGACCCAAAACAAGCAAAAGAAAAAATAATCTGATGGAAACTTTACTAGGTATTATAGTTTTGTTTTCTATTTGAGCAATTCCTTTCAAATTTGAAAAGTCACCAAGTCAGCGCTTCTACATTTGGCTGTGGTAAACGAAGAAGCTTTATTCTTTAAGAATGGCAACTCCTGCAAGTTCTTTTTTTTTTCTTTTTGCATCACACCCGGTGATGCTCAGGGGTTATTCCTGGCTCTGCACTCAGGAATTACTCCTAGTGGAGCTCAGGGTCCATATGGGATGCTGAGAATCGAACCTGGGTTGGCTGTGTGCAAGGCAAAGGCCCTACCTGCTGTGCTATCGCTCCAGCCCCAGCTCCTGCAAGTTTTGCTAAGGGGTGTCCCCTTCCTTGAGAAGTGATCTTACTAGGGTAACACCACTCACACCCGGGTCTGGAGGACAAAGGCTAGTCTCGAGTATTTTCTTTCATACTCAGTGTCCTGTTACGCAAAGAGGGCTCATCATTACCAGATAGGAACTAGCTAATAAGCCATCTGTACAGAGTGCCGCCTGTATTCTTCCCAATCACCAACAGGTCTATCGAGCTCCTAGCCCATCCGCTGACAGTGCTACCTACCTTCTTTCCAGCAAGGGTGCTGGTGAGGCTTGCTCCTGGCATTGTACCAGATCAGCTGCCGGCAGCCGTCATAGGCACAGGAGTACTCGTCGTCCCCAATGCCGTAGCCTTCCTGTGGGGGACAGGGTGACAGAGGGTCAGCAAGGTCTGCTGGGCACAGGGAAGTCTCTCTAATCCCACTAAGCTTATGTGGCGGCTGACATTCTCAGCTTTTTGGATGGAGGGAGAATCTCCATCCTTGGGAGATACTGAGAACTTAATATTGGGAGATAGCAACATTCTAACCTACACGCTTCATTTCAAGACAGACAATGACATTTCACTGCAATCTGCGAAGTTTCACACTGTTAGCTAATTCTCACTAACCACCTCACAGCTGGTGGCATTGTGTTTTTAAGGGAAAATAAAGGCTCAGAGCCAATTAGCTTGCCCAGGGTCACGTTATTTAAATAGTCAAGTTTGGGCCTTGGTATTTTCTGGTTCTGAGACTAGTGCTTCATTCCAGATGGGCATTCCACTTCATTCCAGATGGGCAATACTTCTTACATGCAGAAAACTTTAAAGTATCCACACATGCTCAAAGAATTTCAAACCAGATACAAAAAAAGAAGGTCATAAAGGATGATCGGTTCTGTGTATCATATAGGACCTTGGCAGCAGCTCTTAATACTTATGATCTTTAAATTATTTTACAGTTATTTTTATTGTTACAATATAAAAGGGTAGAGGAATCATTTTGGGGGTCTGTTTTTTAGGCCACTCCTGAAGGTGCTCAGTGGACCATGTGGTGCCAGGGCTTGAACCCGGGCTCTCCGCATGTAAAGCATGCCCTCTTATTGAGCCTAGGCCTAGGCTGGGTGATTCTTAACAAATTATTCTCAATGCTTATAAGAGAAATACAGAAAATGTGTAAATCTGATGCTTGCTCCAGTTGGTGAAAGATTCTAGCAGAGAAAGGGACTGAAAATGAAGACAAAATTCATGCCCCCAGGCCCTGCTGCCAGCAGGATTTCTCGGTGATAATGAAGTGAGGAGAGAGACTGGGGAATGATTCTACGGACTCCTTGAAGATATCGACGACTACATGCTCAGTTCCTGGACTTTAATGCATCAAACTTAGATGAGTGTTCTTCAGAGTGAGGCTCCTGAACACACTACCGAATTATTCAAGCACTAAAAGAACTTGACTCTAACTGCCTGTAGAAAGAGAAGAAATGCACCAGTCTACTGGAAAAAGGGCCTTCCTATCCCTTTAAAAGGCTACACAAATAAATGAAAAGCTCATTTAAAAAGCTTGGTGGGTACTGGGTGGGGAACAGGCAGAGGGTAAGCGATTCTTTGCTTTCTTCACTTCTTAACATCCTAGGAAGTGCACATAACATTGGAGAATCCCAGAGGACGCCTAGCTGCTAACCATTGGTTCAAAGCAGATTCTGCCATGCAGAGTTGTCAATGCTTGGAGGAATTCCACGAGAGCCGCACTGTGAGATAAAGCAGAGATCCAGGTACCTTTGCCAAGCAGACTGCTATAAAATTGGGCTTTGAGCGTCTAGCTCAGAGAGCAACCTAGATGTATTAGAAATACTGGATTCCCTCTTTCAGCCTGGAAACAGTCCCAGCGGGACTGAGCACAGCTCTGGAAGGCTGGCACAGGCCAATGAGACTCTCCTAGCTTGGTCCTCTGCTGTCCTGTTCATTTTGGGGGGATGCCTGGCAGTGCTCAGGAGACCACGGGGTGCTGGAGATCAAACTGGTCTGCTTTTTTTGGTGGTGTGGTGGTTGTGGGAGTGGTTAAGGGAATACCCTGAAGTGCCTATGACTTACTCCTGACTCTGTGCTCAAGGAGCACTATTGAGCTATTCTCTGGCCTCAGTTGGATGATTTTTTTTTTTTAATGCTTTTTGGGTTACACCTGGCTCTGCACTCAGGAATCACTCCTGGCGGTGCTTGGGGGAACATATGGGATGCTGGGAATCAAACCTGGGTCAGCCACATGCAAGGCAAATGCCCTACCTGCTGTGCTATTGCTCCAGACCCATAGGTTGGATGATTCTTAACAAATTATTCTCAGTGCTTTTAAAAGAAACAAAGGAAATGTGTAAATCTGGTGCTTGCTCTAGTTAGTGAAATATTCTAGCGGAGAAAGGGACTGAAAATGGAGAGAAAATTCATGCCCCCAGGTCCTGCTGCCAGCAGGCTGTCTCCTGAGAATCACATGCAGTACTGGGGATCAAACTGGAACTGGCTGCGTGCAAATGTTATAACCCCTGCCCTCTCTCCCGGGACCACGGAGAGAGGGCAGGGGTTATAACATTTGCACATATGAGACATTACTAAAGACAAAGACTATAAACCCCGATCACAACTGGCTAAACAAAAGAAAGTTTAGCCAGAGCCTGTCAGTCAGAAGTATTTCAAATCCTTCGCCCACCTGGCAGACACTGCTTTTTTACAGCTTCCCAACTCTTGTACGCTGATAAAGGTAGAGTCCTACTTCCTGTTACGGTGTGGAGGCAAGACCGCCTGGACAGTCCTATCAGAAACCCCGTGTGACCGGAGGGAACCCACGCAGGAGGATGTTTGCGACTGCTCTGTGGCAGTACTGCCGGCCACGTCCCAGCCAGATCCTTCCCCGAGCCCCCTGGCTGGGGTACTTCTCTACGTCTCTTAGCCCTCTGCTGCTGCCTGGAGCCTGCCCAGTTCCCAAACCCCCAGGCTTCCCAGCCGGTGCTTTCCCACTGAGCCTGTCACTTTCCCCGAGGCGGAGGCGAGACAGGGAAAGGCTCTCTGGAGCAGAGTTTGAAGCTTCTGTAGCACTTGGTGGACAGATGACTGTCTTGGTTTCTCTGAACTTTGCTTCACCTTTTAAAAGGGAGAATATACTTGCCCGAATTCTCAAAAACAAATCAGAGCCAGGGGTTGAAGAGACAATACGACAGGCTCGAGCACATGCTTTGAGCACATGCTCTGCATGCAGGGGCCTGGGTGTGACATTCAGCAGGCCCCCACTTGGTCTCAGAGTGACCCCTAACCAGGGAAGCAGTCCCTGGGCCCCAAACCAAAACCAATCAAAGCACAGACCAGAGAGAAGGGAAAGATCTGTCAAATAATCACTGTCACTGTCCTCCCATTGTTTAATGATTTTGCTCGAGAGGGCCCAGGAACATTGTTGTTACCGTATTTGGCATATCGAATACGTCATGGGTAGCTTGCCAGGCTTTGCTGTGTGGGCGAGATACTCTCAGTAGCTTGCCGGGCTCTCCGAGAGTGGCGGAGGAATCAAACTCAGGTCAATAGATGCTCATAAAAAGGCAAAGAATACTTTTTTTTTTTTTTTTGCTTTTTGGGTCACACTCGATGATGCACAGGGGCTACTCCTTGCTCTACACTCAGGAATTACTCCTGGCGGTGCTCGGAGGACAATATGGGATGCTGGGACTCAAACCCGGGCCATCTGCATGCAAAGCAAATGCCCTACCTACTCCAGCTGCGGCAAAGGATACCCTTTAATAAGTTAACATAAACTTCTGGTGGCTGGAAGTGCAGTAAACTGAACTTGCTGACTGTGTACAAGGCCAGCATCCTGCCTCCTTTGTTATCTTTCTGGCACAGAATCTTATTTTAATAACAGATATCTGAGCCAAATACTTTAGTTATTCTTTCAAAACTGAAGCCCAAGCAGTAGGACTTAAAATGACATTCTGGGGCTGAAAAGATAATACTGTGGGTAGTTTGATCCTCAACATCCCATAAGGTCCCTCAGGCACTGACAGGAGTTAATTCTGAGCATTGCTGAGTCTGGACCCGAAACAAAAACGAAGAAACAAAATAAAATGACTTAGTCAATAAAACCACAAACTATCTGCATAAGCAGAAAGGATTCACAATTAGCAGACAATGTCTATTTGAAGCACAGCTAAAACCAGATCATTAAAACCCCACATTTGGGAAAAGATCTATCAAACTTTATCAGTTTCCAACAAGAAATCAACCAGTACTTGAATCAGTTCCCTCCTGGCAGTGCTCAGAGGGAACATTATGTGGTGCCAAGGATTGAACCCAAGTTGGATGCATGCAAGTCAAGTGCCTTACCTGCTGTACTAACTCTGGCCCAGGGATCAGGATCTATCTAATCTTATATCTTATCTATCTATCTATCTACCTACCTACCTACCTACCTACCCACCCACCCATGGATCAGGATCTATCTATTCTTTCTATCTATCTATCTATCTATCTATCTATCTATCTATCTATCTATCTATCTATCGTCACACCTGGCAATGCTCCTGGCTCTGCACTCAGGAACCAACTCCTGGCAGTTCTCAGGGGAACATATGGGATGCTGGGGATCAAACTCAGGTTGGCTGTGTACAAGGCAAGTACATTCTCTCTCTGGTCCCTGCTGTACTATCACTCTGGCTCCAGGATTTTTTTTTTTTGGGGAGGGGGGGCTATACCTGGCAGTGATCAGGGATCAATCCTGGTGGGAGACCATCTCAGGTACCAGGAATTAAAACCCAGGTCAGTTGTGTGGAAGACAAGCACCTTATCCACTCTACTATTGATGTATTTCTATGTCTATTCTGGGGCCATACAGAGAAGTGTTCAAGGACTTCTAAGGGTCTGGTGCTCACACGCAGAGTTGCCTTTGAGCTATTCTGTGACACTATTTCTGAGTAAGTCTAGCAAATAACTCTCAGGGATCTGGTACCCAAGAAATGACTATCCTGCAAAGTTATTGAAAAGCTATTTCCAAACACTCACCCTGAAACCACTGCTGCCCCAATGACATGATTCTCAGAGGTACTCACATGATTGAGAAATTTGCTGTCTCTTGTAGCCCAGCCGATCTGCATGACACCAGAAGTGACCACTGTTACTTCATAGTACCATACCCCAGCATCCACACAGAAGGTACAGCGCACACTTTCAAAGGAGGAGGCATCACAGCGAGCCTGCCAAGAACAAAAGGGTGACAGTCCACACCAGTCCCTGGAGAGATGAATACAATGTTACTTACTAAAGCTTTCTGTGGAACACTGCTTCCTTGTCTCTGTACCCTTGTGACAAAAATTAAAAAAAAAAAAAAAGCAGCAGCAAAGCGAATGAAATGCCCGGACAATTTCATAGTTTCATTCTGAGAGAAGGCAGGATGCATGCCCAGCTGAGAAAGCCTGAGGAACCAGTAAAGGCCGTGGGCTTCGTTTTCATGTGCTTTGCTCTCCTATTAGGGCCCCTGACAAGTGCCTAGACAAGGCTGTCACCTAGACCTGTTATGACAGAGGGGGAGAAGGTCACTGAAGACTAAGGGATGGGACGTCTAAATAATCTAAAGCATAAATCTCCATAAGGCATTTACTGGGGTACTGCGTGTGTGCCCAGAGCTGTTTGCAGCCCTCTGTCAAGCAACTCTTGGATCTGGATCCGTCTAGTACTTCCTGTCTCCTGTTTGCACAGAAGCAGCTCGTTTATCCATCCTCACTGAAAAATCAGCGATATTTCCGATATACATGGAGGGTGAAGGAGAATCATGAGACTTAATACAACTGTCTATGCAGCAAAATACAAAGTTGCAAATAGCACTACATGGGATACAGAAAGGGACAGGTATTGTCCAACACCCTCTTCTGTGGTTATGGAGATCTCCAGCCACTCTCAGGAGAAAATAAACTTCCAGTTCTGCAAGAAACAGCCTTGGTACAGAACCAGGGGACCGGAGAGATAATACAGCAGGAGGGCACTTGCCTCGAATAAGGCTGACCCAGGTTTGATCTCTGGCATCCCATGTAGTCCCTGAGTACTGTCAAGAGTGATTCCTGAGTACAGAGCCAGGAGTAACCCACGAGCACCGCTGGGTGTGACCCCGAAACAAAAACAAAAAGATGGAAATAAGACCAAGATTTCAGTCCTGCCCAGTGATCCAGTGGGGATTTTACCTCCAAGCCGTGCGGTGAGATCTTCAGGTACTCGCTGACATCGTTGCTATTCAGCATGGCCCGGATGTTATTCAAGTCCACTTTCTCATACGTCAGCTGCCGACCTTCTTTTAAAACTGCAGAAGAGAAAGTGATGGTGTTTATGATACAGATTGCCGTGGGCAGAGGCTGGGATGCCATTCGCTGTCCCTCGAAGTGCCCACCAGTGGCAGGAGAGATGGGGAGAGCCCCGTACTCCCGGCTCCGGAGCACTCCTCTCTCGTGAGGATAAACCAAGAGAGCACTGCGAAGCAGCACCCGTTCTCTGGCACGCAACACAGCTGAGCTGCTTTCTCCCGGGCTCTCACTGAAGTGGCACCAGACAGGCCATGCACCTAGCAGCTCCCCATACTGCTCTGGAAGCTGGAAGTTCCGGGTCCAGCTGGGCACAGGGACGCCCGCTAACTCTGGCAGGCAGCAAAGGCAGGGCAGTGGTGTTACTGCCAGCAGTCCTCGAGGAGAGCGGTCAGCAGAGACCTTCCGGCAAAGGCAAGACATGACTTGAGTTTTTAACAGAAGTTTGGGATGGTGGCAAAAAAGACTGGGAATTCCAAGTAGGAGCCTAGAAGTAGGAATCACTGGAACCTATCTGCAGGATAGTGAGCAAGTAATCTGGTTTTGTTTTCAGGTCACACCTGGAGGTACTCAGGAGTACCTGGCTCTGCATGCAAGAGATGGTTGATGTTGGTAAGAGCTGATTATATACTACCGTACAACTGATAACCTTGAGGCAGTTGGAAAAAGGGCACCAGTGAAGGTGTTTGAATGAAGAGTAGTGGAATTAGTGGCATTCCACAATAAGCTTCGACGGAAGGGGCCCCTAGGATACTTTTCTGCCAGAACATTCCAATCCACCAATCGAGTCCCTTACAAGGAAAACTTCACATTCGCCTTACAAAATATCCTATAAAAATGAACAGGACTGGAATGGAATGAAGCATCTGAAGGAAGAACAGTTCCCACTCACAGAGATTGTCTAAGCTCCACTGTGCACAGAAGCCAACCTGGCGTCTCAGATAATCAGGATCGTCAGCCCAGGACTCCAGTGTGGTAAGTCGGTCACTGATGCTGGATTCTGAGATGGTCAATTTATTTTCACCTGTTTGGAAAGACATGAACCTTAAGTTAGCAATGGAAGATCAGGAATAGTAAGGAGTGAGGAGAGGCACCCACAGAATTGGGAAACTCAAATAATGACTATCCCAAGGACTCAATTCTCTAGGATCAGCAATCTTCTCACTGAAGGCTTAGCTCTGAAGAAAGGCTCACCACGATCACCAAGTTTTTTTTTTCTTCTTAGGCCACACCTGGAGATGCTCAGGGGTTACTCCTGGCTCTGCACTCAGCAATTACTCCTGGTGGTGGTGCTCAGGGGACCATGTGGGATGCTGGGAATCGAACCCAGGTCAGCCGCAAGGCAAACGCCCTACCCACTGTGCTATCGCTCTAGCCCCTCACCAAGCCTTGATGCCTGGGTGAGACCCTGGTCTCGCCCGTGACACCTGGCCTTGGGATACCCCTTCAGTTAAAGTCAGAGTGTATTCTTGCTTTAATGAGACTCCAAGTGCACACTTCTCTCATAACAGTAAGATTCTTAGCAACCAACAAAGATCATTAGTGCGAGAAGTCACTATACCTACTTGTCTGTGCAAACTTTTCCAGTGCGATGAGTGCAAAAAGCATGACTGTGGGGTGGGACCGTAACTTCTGAAAGAAACAAAAACACAAGTATCATCTCCATGCACAGGTTTTTCTTTTCTGTCTGTTTCTCAGCAGTCAGAAAGTTTTACTCATTTAAGTCCTTGGGTATCAAGCTGTTAATGATTTGTAGTGAGGAAACAAGAGAGTCTCTTGAAATCTTATATGTTTTTCTTGAGATCACGGAATTAATCTGTAGGTACAGACCTGTCATAATGATCTCACTAAATGTACTGCTAATTTTTCTTACTAAAATTTATATTAGGACTGTTTAATAAAATGTTGATTCTTACATTCGCTTAAGCAAGTCAGACAGGAAACAAGAATTTTGGGGCCAGAAAGACAGTCCGGGGGTGGGGGTGGGGGGTTGGCGGGAAGAAACCTGGGGAGACTGATGGTAGGAGATGTGTACTGGTGAAGGGACGGGTGTTGGAACATTGTATGATGAAGCCCAATCATGAACAACTTTGTAACTGTGTATCTCACAAGGTCTCAATTAAAAGAAAAAGAAAAAAAGAAAAGGAAGATAGTCCAAGCAGAGTATATGTTTCATATGAGGGAGGTTTGGATTTGATCCCTGGCACCATATCATGAGCAAAGAGCCGGGAGTACTCTCTGAGCATATTCCACTGTGGCCCCCAAACCAAAACACAAATAATTACTGCTAGAAATGACTTTTTCCTCAAGACTCTAAAATGAATTATTGCAACTATGTTCTAAAATTACTATAATGGTAAACTAACTTAAAAAAAAAGTCATGTGGAGTTCATGCCCAATTCAATCAGATTAATCAATGGCTGAATAAGCAGTGCTCCTACATTATAAAAAAAGAATAAATAAAATAGAATTACTATAATGAAATGAACAACTATAAACGGTTCAGTTTTCAACCTGTTCTCAAAAAATAAAGAAAGAAAGAAAGAATTCCACAATGCTGTGGTGGGCGGGAGAGTGACAAGTAGACCCTTTCGGTCACAGCTACATTCGTGTCACATTCGCTGACATGTAAAGAAAGGCCCCTTTGCTCAGCACCACCACAATCTCTCACAATTTTCCTTTCTCTAGTCACATTAGGATCCTGGAAAAAGAGTGTTAGAGCACTGAGCAAAGATTCCCTTTGACTTCCTGGTGCCCCGCTAGGTTCTACAAAGCTCTTATCATCATTCTCCTTGGCTGCAAGAAACCCCAATCAAACAGAAATGGAACAAGATCAAATAAAATAGGAGGCTGTGTGCCCCACAGCTAACTGGGACGGATTCAATCCCTGGCACCACATCCGGCCCAGACCCACAGGAGGATCCCGGCCACTCAGAACCCCTCTGCCTGGCTTGCAGGCCTTAACCACCACCCCCTGACCGTGCTACCCGTCTGCCTCTACCTTCTCTCTCTCTGATCAGAGAGTTCTTTGAAATTTTGTGGACGCATGGTCACGGCCAACCCTGGGTCTCTGTTTGTGATCAGACCTTAACCAAAAACCCAGTTCTTCCTCCTGTGTACACGATCACATCCTGATCTCTCAGAATGACCTACTCCTTCCTCCTCCTTCAGAAAATCTCTGGCACTCAAGATTCTTCTAGTTCTCATGGCATTGTATTTTTTTTTTAGTTGAAAATATTATTTAATGAGTTAATCAAATATTTGTTTGAAATTTTAAGCAATCTGCCTTGTGTAAGTAATATGTAATTAGGTAAATAAGACAATTATTTTTGGTTGACATGGTGTTGTTCCCCGTTTTCCCCCAGGTCTCAATCACCTTCTCTCACAGCATTTACTCTCATGGGAGTAATTTTGCTCCTGATTACATCCCTCATAAAACAGAGGATAATCTGTCCCGTCTGAGTAAGTTTTGTCCTCTCAGCTAACCAACAACTTTCTATGGATGAAGAACTGGTTGAGGCCTTCGGTCTCCATTTTGTCTAGTCAGTTTCGCTGCTGTTTGTCGTAAGGACACTCCAGGAGTCTGGTCCTGGGGGAACGGCTTGCTTGGGTGTCTGGGTCTGATGATGTGTTGTGACTTGGGGCTAACAGGACCACGCTCAGCAGTGCTTTAGGGCCACCGTCAGCAACTCAGGGTGGTGACTGGGAGCTTCTCACGCAGTGAGGGACTGTGATCAGAGTCTGAGCCATGTCCTGACTCACAGTACTCCCGAGAGCAGCAGTGACAGGAGGCTTGGGGAGGAACGGAGACTTATATACGCGGAAATACAACCCACTGGGGCCTGGCTTGAATGCCAGGTTGATTTGTTTCCACTTTGACGTCCCTAGTATCATCGTCAGACTCTAAGGATATACACCAAAATGCCCATCAAGTGAAGAGCTCAGCTCTTCACTCGCTACCTGTCTGAATGCAAGGTTCCGTCCCAATGGAAAACCAGCAGGACCGTACTACTGTTCAAGAAGGGAGACATCCATGACATTGGCAACTATCGCCCGATCTGCCTATTGTCTGTCATCTACAAGTTGTTCACACGAGTCATCCTGAATAGGATTGGCAGAACATTAGATGAAGGACAACCATGCGAGCAAGCAGGGTTCCGCAAAGGATTCAGCACCATCGACCATATCCACACGATAACCAAGCTCATTGAGGTTTCTCGGGAGTTCAAGATGCCGCTCTGCTTAACGTTCACTGATTTAAAGAAGGCCTTTGATTCTGTTGAGACGGAAGCGGTCATTGAAGCCCTAGCCAATCAGGGCATTCAAGCCCAATACATCAGGATCCTCCGTGAGCTCTATTGCGGATTCACTACCAGGATCTCACCATTCTACAAAGAAGTGATTGTTGATGTCAAGAGAGGGGTGCGGCAGGGTGATACCATTTCACCGAAACTCTTCAGTGCCACCCTTGAGAACATCATGCGACGACTGGAATGGGAAGGAATGGGAGTGAAGATAGATGGTCGGCAATTACACCACCTCCGCTTTGCTGATGACATTGTTTTAATAACACCAAACATCAGCCAAGCGGCACAAATGCTGGCCGACTTTGACCGTGAGTGTGGAAAGGTAGGACTACAGCTGAATCTTACGAAGACAATGTTTATGAGAAACAGCCTTGTTCCTGACGCCCCATTCACTCTCAATGGAACGACCATCTCCGAATGCAACAGCTATGTGTACCTAGGTCGAGAGGTCAACATGACAAATGACCTGGCACCCGAGCTGCGCAGGAGGAAGAGAGCGGCTTGGAACGCCTTCAAGAACGTCAAAGAAATAGCTAAGAGGACGAAGAACCTCCAGCTCCGGGCACATCTCTTTGATTCCACTGTTCTTCCTGCATTAACATATGCCTCAGAGACCTGGGCCCTACGCAAACAAGATGAGAACGCCATTCAGGTCTCCCAAAGAAGAATAGAAAGAGCTATGCTTGGAATATCACGTTTCACTCAAATGAGAGAACGAATCCGGAGTTCTGACATCTGTCGACGATCAAGGATCAGGGACGCTGTCTCATTTGCCAAGGTGTCGAAAATCAGATGGGCTGGTCACGTAATGAGATTTAAAGATGACCGTTGGACTAGAGCTGTTACTGATTGGATTCCACGGGATGTCAAAAGACCGCGTGGCCGCCCACCTACCAGATGGTCAGACTTCTTCGTCAAGATCATGAACGATCGGTTTGAGGCCCTTCATGTTCCCGAAGCAAACAGATGCCATTGGGCTACACTAGCACGCGACAGGGACAAATGGAGACGTTACTGGCGCCCGCTCGAGCAAATCGACGACTAACGGGAAGTCAAGTGATTAAGTGATTTAAGTGCCCATCAAGTAGCTATTTAAAAGAATACATTTAAAACCAGACTAAGCTCTTTTATTTTTGTAACCAAAACTTTAATTGTAGGGATTCTCACAAAACATAATACAAATGATTCCATGAAAAGATCTTGCACAGTTACTTTAAAGTCCAGTTCTACAATGTACCTTTTAAACTGTAGGAGACTGGTATCTTAAGTAGTCTTTAATGAAATCTATCCCACTTTTACTATTCTTTCATTTGGGGGGATTTTGCTTTTTTTTTTTTGATTTTTGTTTTGTTTTCGTTTTGGGGTCACACCAATGCTTAGGGGTTACTCCTGGCTCACGCACTCAGGAATGACTCCTGGGGGTGTTCCGAGAACCATATGGGATGCTGGGGATCAATCCTGGGTTGGCCCTTTGCAAGACAAACACCCTACCTACTGTTTTATCCCTCCAGTCCCCTTTATTATTATTAACCTAGGAGGGAGCAGATAAACACTCGGGAGACACTTGTAAATAAAATTGATAACTGATTCAATTTTCCATGCCAGTGGCTAATCTGGCAACTTCAGGCAGTTCTAGATGAGAAGGAATGGCCAGCTTTGATGTTTTTTACTTACCAGACACTGTAGCAAGTATTCCAGTATTCCTGGGCTAAGTAAACCTATACTTGCAGGACCTAGATGAATGCAACAAACAATGGGATAGAATGAGTATGTCACATTACTTTTAATAAGTAACCAAGACTAACACTTCTGACAGAACTCTTTTTCAATTTTTTTTTTTTTTTTTTTTTGCTTTTTGGGTCATGCCCGGCGATGCTCAGGGGCTACTCCTGGCTCTACACTCAGGAATTACTCCTGGCAGTGCTCAAGGGACCTTATGGGATGCTGGGATTCGAACCTGGGTTGGCTGCGTGCAAGGCAAACGCCCTACCCGCTGTGCTATCACTCCAGCCCCTGACAGAACTCTTTTATCAAGTATTTTCAAGCACAAGCACAAGACCTTCCTCGAGTTCCCAGAGTCAGGAAGAAACGGTATCATCCCCATCTCATAGTGAAGAGGCATGAGGGAGCAATGCAGTGACTGGGGAGCTTGGGAAAGGACCAGAACTCAAGCGTCTCTCTCTCATTCTCTGTCTCTTTTCCTCAACATGACAGGACTACCTGGACTATTAACCCGTGGAGTGATGTGAACTGTTCCACGATGGGAATATTCACGGAAGATTAGACGTCTGCTTTCCTGATCGGGAAGGGCTCCATCTTAAATGCCCCTTTCTTGGGATGAAGAGACAGAACAGAGATGAAGGCACTTGCTTGGCTCGCAGTCACAGCCCTGACACTGGTTGGAATCCTGGCACCACATAAGGTCCCCCAAACACTACCAGGGGTGGTCCCTGAGTACAGAGCCAGATGTGGGCCAAAACAAAAGTTCCTTTTCTTCTTCTCTGACCTAGTATGTAAGTATGTATTGAATATCTAGCAAAACTTTACAAAGTGTACATGTAATGCATGCAATCTTCATTTTACTAAGTTCAGCCTTTCCTTGTTATTCTTTTCTCGAGGTAGTGGTACGCCCTGTGCTCCAAAGTGGACCCAACCCGGGGCTTCTGCGTGCAACACACGCACTGCAACCCGAGTCACCCCCCTCAGCTTCATTTCTCTTAATTTTGATTTTAAACAAGATTAAAACGCTTTGTTTCATTTATTAGTGGCCACCCCTGGCAGTGCTCAGGGGACCACAGGTGGTGCCGTGAATCAAACCTGGGTCAACCATGTGCAAGGCAAGCGTCTTAACCCACTGTAACAATCACTCTCAGCCTCCAAATACAACTTTCAATTTCATTTCCCTGTGAAAATCCTTCAATGCTTAACTCATGGCGTTCACCTCTTAGGCTTTTAAGTAAAAAAAAAAAAAACAAAAGTTTGAGACGTTCCTTCTGATATAGGAGGTTTCTTTAAAGTCAAACACTTTCAAGAATTTCCTGTGTGCAGCTTCCAGAGTTACCTGCTAGTTTCTCAGCCAAGCAGCCTAGAACTGCAGACGTGTTCCTGTGTTTGGCAGGGTGGCCTGAGTCCTGGCAAGCTACTTCTCCATTTAAATTAAGAATTTCAGTCAATTTCTGGAGTGCATCCTAAAAACAAACAAAAAAGTGAATGAGTGACTTTGACAAATGTACTACTAAGCCTCTTGTCCCAGAGTCAAGCTATTAGCAAGTGTCAAATTACAAAATATTGTGCAAAAATGATATAACAGACCCTTAGCCCCAAAGATGTCATTATTGATGGGAAATATTGTCAACCGGAAAGATTTCTTCCATTAAATTTTTTAATTTCACTTAAAAGATACCAAAGGTAAAGGTAAAGGCCCTCCCGTTGATCGTCGATTTGCTCGAGCGGGCCCAGTAACGTCTCCATTGGAGACTTTGTTGTTACTGTGTCTGGCATATCAAATACTCTCGGTAGCTTGCCGGGCTCTCCGGGAAAAGATACCAAATATATGCTATATACCCTTGAATCCTTAAGCACACCAAATCCACCCAAGACTGATAGCATGACTGATAACAACAGGGCCAAGTGATACCGAAGTAAAGAGTTAAAAAAAATTTAAACCAGGGGCAGGAGGAGAGTGCAGCGGGTAGAGTCTGCCTTACATGCGAGCTACCCAGGCACCCTATACGGCCCTCCGAGGAACACCAGGCGTGATTCCTGAGTGCTGAGCAGGAAGTAACCCGGGCACTGCTGGGTGTGGCCCCAAACAAAAAGTCAACCACAGCAAATTTTTTAAGCCAGCAAGAATGAATCTCACATTTTCAAGGCAGACCACAATCTTTTTAAAGAAGCCTCTTGGGGCTAGAGCGATAGTACAGCAGGTAGGGCATTTGCCTTGCATGTGGTCGACCCAATTTTGATCCCCGGCATCCCATATGGTCTCCCCAGTACTGCCAGGAGTAATTCCTGAGTGCAGAGCCAGGAGTAACCCCTGAAGATTGTTGGATGTGATCCAAAAAGCAAAAAAAAAAAAAAAAAAAAAAAGCGATAGTGCAGCGGGCATGGTGCTTGCACTGCACACGGGCCTACCTGGGTTGGATTTCCTGTACCCCACACTGTCCCAGAGCCCCAGGACTGCTCCCTTGAGCACAGAGCCAGGGGTAAGCCCTGAGCACTTCTGGGTATAGACCCCCAAAAAAGGAAGGAAAAAAAAATCTTATTGTAAGACTTAGGCAAAACTTAATTATCAGTAACTAAGCCAAAGACCCTTTTTTCCCCGAATATTTTTTCCATAATTTGCCCAAATATCTGAAGCTTTTTTTCTGTTTTGGGGCCACACATGGTGGTACTCAGGACTGACTCCCGGCTCTGTGCTCAGGGATCACTCCTGGCAGTGCTGTGGGACCTCAGGTGGTACTGGGGGTTGAACCAGGATCAGACACGAGCAAGGCAGATGACTGAACTGTCTCTACTATCTCTGTGGCTCCCAAACATCTGAGGCTTAAACAGACCAGGGGGAAAAAAAAAACCAAAACCAAAAAAACCCAAACACAACATTCCACTGAACATATGGCCTGACACATGTTAGTTTTAAACTTTTGTTCTATATAAGGAATAACCAAGGTTCCTCTTTAACATTTGAGTAATACCCTTAAGTATTTTCTGGATAGCTGCCTTTCCTTTTTTGGGTGGGGGCGGGGAGATGTCCTCCCAAGTGACTACTCAGGAGACCCAGGGTCCTAAGGGTCCTTGGCCAGCCAGGCCAGCAGGCCAACGCAAGTTTAATGCCTGCCAACGCAATGCCACGCAGGCCCCATGGTGCTGGTGCTGAGGATAAATACTTCCTGCCCTCCCCCCTTACCCAACACACACACACACACACACACACACACACACACACACGAGAGCTTGGGGGTCGCTAGGGCTATATCCAGCAATGCTCAAAGGGCCCTTAGTGCGGGAATGAGACCCAGCTTTGATGCGTGCTATGTATGTTACTAGTTCCTGGCCCCTAATTGCTTTTCTTTTTGATAGGAACAACACCACCAACAAAAAAGATCATTTTTTTGCTATGGACCCAAGAGATAGTCAGCAGGCTGTGGGCAAGCTCTGCATGGGGGAGGGAGGCCTGGGTTTGACCCCATCTGGATGTGGCCCCCAAACCAAGAAACAAAAACACTTTGGGGGCCAGGAGATAAAGAGGTTAAGTGTTTGCCTTGAGTGAGGCCAACCCTGCTTCTGTTCCTGTTCCCCCTAAACCCCCCCCCAAAATTCTTTGCTCTGGGACTGGGAATAGGCTAGTGGTAGAGTGTATACATTAGATATATATAACCTAAGTTCAGTCCACAAACACATGCACACATAATTTAAAAAAATTTTTTTTGCTGTTGTTGTTGTTAAGGAACCTGCTTAGAGAAGAAAAACAATAAGCTTAGCAGGGCAAAGAGAGCTAGTCGAGTGAGCAAGTAGGGCGCCTGCCTTGCACGCGGCCAACCCAGGATCAATCCCTGGCACTCCATATGGTCCCCCCAAGCCCCGCTAGGAACAATCCCTAAGTGCAGAGCTAGAAGTAAGCCCTGAGCACCTCCAAGTGTGGCCCAAAACACAAACAAACAAACAAACAAAAAATAATAAAGAGAAAAAAAATCATCTTAGCAACAGAACATACTCGTCTAGCTTCCAAAAATGACTATTTTAAATACAAATACTTCCATTTTAAACAACTTTAAAATTTTAAGTTAAAGTTTTCACAGTAAGCAATTGCTTGAAAAAGTAGCACTTCATTAATAAAAACCACATTTATATAAATGAAATTATTAGTCAACAAACAGATCCTAAATATATAAAGAAAATATAAAACATCAAATATTCTTTGTGGCCATTCATTCTGTGCTTAAGCACGGATGATAATTCCATAAAAGACAGGTGTTAACTTACTTTAGTGGGCAATGGACATTCATCTAGTAACAATGTTATAACAGCTGGTCCCAATGGGTCTTCCAATGGAATAACTCTAATTAAAGACTGGACAACATCCAACCATCCTTCATCTAAGAGCAAATCAAGAACATTATAAAATGGAGACACTACTGTAAAAAAATGCGAAAATAAAATAATGTCATACAAAATGACTTCATATTAAAACAAGCACATCTGGCCTTCACCTGGCAGTATTTAGGCAGTTAGCATTTGGCATGGACATAGTTATTAATTGCTAGTCACCATGATCAAAGAATCCTAACTTATAGGAATCCAGTGATTTGGGAATATCTTGGAGAAAATTCATATTATGTTCTTGGATTCTCAAATTATGACTTAAATAGTTTCAGCATCTTATTTGCAATAGGGGATTTAACAAAAAATTTAGTCTTTGAAACATTTGGCTTTATTTTGAGAATGACGCTAAGGGAAGATGAGGAACAGAAATAATTGTCCTTCCCAATCTGGAAGAAATGCTAAAGATCTGTCAATGCCAAAAAGAATTCTCCCCCCATAATTTCAGTGAGGTAAAATCAATCTTAAGAGGTGCAGAGGTTAATGTTCACAAGGAAATATATAGTGCTTTATTACATTAGTACCATGTGCAGGTAAAATTTTGTACACGAAGGGCTTTTTCCTTTGTACTATGTGTACAAAGTATTTTATTTTAAAAGGTAGTTATATATTTTCATAATCATTAACCGGAAATACTTTTTAAAAACTTTAAAATACCTGTTTCTGCCATTTCGTGCAATGTAATCATTGAATAGGGAGGTTCCTGATCACTGAAAAACAAACATTCAAGACATCAAACTTGAAGAACTAAGAAATGACAATCTCAAATAAACAAAAATTCCAAATAACAATTCTATATAACACAAAATTAAACTGGAAGTGTGAGGGTAGAAAGAGAAAGAAGAAATGAACATGAATATGAATGTAAAGAAAAAGATGGAAGAGACCACCAGAGCTATATTCTGCAGGGACAAATGCACACCACATGTGTTCTTTTTTAAGATCACTGTTGTTGTTGGCCCACAAGTAAAGTGGGCTGAAGGGCACTCAAACGGACTTGAAGTGAAAGTACAAAACTAAAATCGAAGACCCAAATCTACTTTTCAGGTTTTATAAAACTCTAGGGGTCCAACAAACCTAAGAGAGAGGTCAACATCACCTCACACTTACCTCAGAGGAAGGCCGAAAAGAGAGATGAGGATAATCCCATTTGAGGGCTTATGGAAGCAAAGGCCAACATAAACATCTTTTTGTTGTTGTCTTCTTTTGGACCACACCCGGCTATGCTACTGACTTATTCCTGGCTCTGCACTCGGGGACCATTGCTTGTCGGGCTTGGGGGACCATCTGGGATATTCATGGTCACGGTCCTCCCGTTGTTCATCGATTTGCTCAAGCGGGCCCAATAACGTCTCCATCGTGAGACTTCTTGTTACTGTATTTGGCATATATTGAATATGTCATGGGTAGCTTGCGAGATACTCTCGGTAGCTTGCCAGGCTCTCCGAGAGGGGCAGAGGAATCGAACCCAGTTCGGCTGAGCCGGCTGCGCGTAAGGCAAACGCCCTACCGCTGTGCTACTGCTCCAGCCCATCTGGGATATTATGGGAATCAAACATGGGTCAGCCACTACAAGGCAAGTGCCTTAACCCCAGTCCTACTTCTCTGGCCCAGCTTAGGACTCTCTGCGTGGAGGATGGGTCTCGGACACCCACCCCACCCCACCTGTGCAATGAATGAGGAAGACTCCAGTTTCCCCTCAAAGTGAAAAGAGTTGGAAAACGTTATAATGGATACCGTTTATCCAGCTACAGTGGCATAAAGCAGAGGAAGTCATGCAACTAGACACAGCTTCTTACAATGAGATGGAGACTCAGGACCACCAATTTGAGGGATACTCACAGATCAAAGGTCCCTGGGATGCCGGTTCAGCAGCACAACACTGACTTGCCATGTACATGTGAGGTCCTGAATTTCATCCTTGGGACTGTAAAACCCAGGGCCCAGCGCAGTAGTACAACAGCTAGGGAGCTTGCCTTGCACACGGTGACCAGGGTTTGATTCCCGGCACCCCAGATGGTCCCCCGAGACCCATCAGAGTGCAGAGCCAAGAATAAGCCCTAAGCATTACTGGGCATGGCCAGAAACAAAACAAAACCAAACCACCACCAAACCTCCATTATAAGGAGTCTACATGGGCAAGGGAGATCGCCCAAGGGCCTGGAATGCATGCTATGCATGCGGAGTGGCATGCTTTGCCCATTTACACTTCCAGCACCGCACGGATCCTCAAGCACCAACAGAAAACCCCCTAAGCATCGAGCAGCAAGCAGCCCCCGTGCGATGTTGGGTATGGTCCAAAAAGGAAAAGAAGAAAAGTAAACCTGCAAATCAAAGTTCTAATGCATGAGAACAGTCACCATCAAAAGTAAGCAACTAACAAAACTTCTCAAAGATTTAAAAATAAGAGGCCAGAGTGATAGTACAGCAGGAACAGGCATTTGCCTACATAGGCCAACCCAGGTCCTGGCTGATCGGGGTTTAATCTCTGGCATCCATCTAGTCCCCGAGCACTGCCAGGAATGATCACTGAGTACAGAGCAAAAAGTAAGCCCTGAGTACCACCAGGTGTGGTCCAAAACCAAGCAAACATAAAATATAAATGAACACTATAAGTGGTATATGAAATGATATTAATCAAGAGGAAAATAAAAATTCAGAAATCCTAGAAATGAAATATAACCACTGAAATAAGAATCTCATTATAACATATAACAAAAGATGTACCATAAAGAGAAAATTGTGAATTGGAAGATGGTACTGGGAAATTAACTCAGTATACAGCAGAAATGACAGTCAAAGAAATAATAGTTGCGATATTTCCAGAACTCAAAAATACAGTATATCATATTGAAAGTAGCAGAATATTAGACAACAACCTTTGTTTCAATGTGGATGGGAGGGGATAAAGTCTTATGCATATTGCAAAAAAGGCATTTTATTTCAAAACCAAGTCATGGGAAAAAATTACAATCAATGTCACAAGATTCTCCCACAGCAATACTCAGCACTGGGGCTATGGTCCTCTTGGATCACAATCTTTCTAAGTAACAATTACAATGTATACAAGTCATTTTACCATTTATCATACAGACATCATTTTAGGAAATAACTCATCTATCTCGGTTATCTTTGTTTTTGGGGGGGGGGGGGGTCATACCTGTAAGTGCTCTCTGTACTTATTCCTGACTCTGCTGAGGACTCACTCTTGGGCATGCCAGGATCAAACCTGGGTTGGCCACAGGCAAGGCAAGTGCTCTATCTGCTGTATGGTCTCTCTGGTCCCAAATTATCTTTCATGTTTAGTTTTAACAGTTTTATAAACTTTATAGATTATGGAATTCTTCTTTAGCAGTTTCTAAATACCAAGCTATGTAGAGTTTTAAACTGCCTGATTTCTAGTTTGCAATTTATAATTCTCCAACATGCCCTTCATATTTACTCTGCAGCTGCTTTATTTCTCCCATTTTCAGAAAAGAGTTAAAAACTATAATTCAGTTCCAAGCAATTTTAAGGTAAAAGTTATCTTATTCGATTTTTAATTTAAATTGGAATCCTATTCAAATTCACTTTCCTCAGTTAAATGAGGTATGTGTCTTATCAACAAGTGGTAACATTTCCTAGCTTAGAAATAAACTTACTTTGCCTCTTATCACTCTCTTTTAAAATAGGACAGAGCTGGAGACAAAGTTCAAAGGGTTGAGTACATACTTTGCACAAAGGAGAGTTGTTTGATCCCTGGCACCACGTTTCCCCGAGCCCTGGCAGAAGTGACTGCTACGCATTATGCTAGGAGCAGCCCCCAAGCACCACTCTGGGCAATGGCTCAGAAAAACTAAAATCAAGACCAAATATGACAGTATATTCTGCACCTCTTTCTCAATAGGTTTAGGTAACACTGCTTGTAATATATCACTGTCCTCCCGTTGTTCGTCGATTTGCTCGAGCGGGCCCAGTAATGTTTCCATTGGAGACTTTGTTGTTACTGTGTCTGGCATATCGAATACGTCACGGGGAGCTTGCCAGGCTCTGCCGTGTGGGCGAGATACTCTCGGTAGCTTGCCGGGCTCTCCGAGAGGGGCGGAGGAATCGAACTCGGGTTGGCCATGTTGGCTGCATGCAAGGCAAATGCCCTACCGCTGTGCTATCGCTCCAGCCCATATATATATATATACTTTTTTTTTTTTGGCTTTTGGGTCATACCCAGTGATGCTCTGCACTCAGGAATCACTCCTGGTGGTGCTTGGAGGACCATATGGGGACCAAATCCGGGTCGACCACATGCCCTGCCCGCTGTACTATCACTCCAGACTTTAGTTTACTGTTTCATTACTTTTTTGTTTTGGGACCACACCAGGTGATGTGCATGGGTTACTCCTGGCTCTGCAATGAGGAATTGCTACTGGTGGTGCTCAAGGAACCACAAGGGATGCTAGCAATCGAACCTGGGTTGGCTGTGTGCAAGGCAAGCACCCTTCCTGTGTACCTGTACCTCCTAGCCCTACTTATTTTGGAAGGACAATTTTTTATTATACACTTATATTTTCAAATACCATTGTAAGAAACCTTATGAAACCACTTTTAGTTCCTTTTTTGAGAGTGGGGGATAAAACTGCCACAGATTTTTATTCAACATTGTGTGTGGGGAGGGGGGAGGGGGGTGGCTTAGGGGCCATGCCTGACCATGCTCAGGGGACCATTTGCAGTGAAAGGACTTGGACAATATGCAGTGCCAGGATATGAACCAATGTGCAGTCGCAGGCAAGTACCCAAGTACCTTAACCTTTGGACTATCTCTCAAGCTTCAACATCTGTATTTCAAACACATACCAGAACTACTTCCAAGGCTGGTTTAGATATATTGAGGAACATCTTTCTGAGACAAAAATTACCTCAGAAAATAAAATGCACAGGTTTACCTTGTTTTATGCTAGTTTTGTTTGTTGGTTGGGTTTTCTTTTGACCACATCCAGAGGTGCTCAGGGGTGACTCCTGGATCTGCACTCAGGAATCACTCCAGGATGGCTGGGGGCAGGGGGTGGGGTTGGGGTGGAATCATATGGGATGCCCGGGATTAACCCAGGTTGGCTGCATATAAGGCAAGCTTCCAACCCGCTGTACTATCTCCCTGGCCCCCTATGCTATATCCTGGGGGGCGGGGAGGGGGCGGCATACCCGGTGGTGTTTGGGGCTCACCCCTGGCTGTCAGGGCTCACACTTGGTGGTGCCTGTTCCATAAGTACTGGGGACTGAGCTGAGGCCAGTCACATGCAAGGCAGGTATCTTACCCCCTATATTATCTCTCTAGCCCCTTATGTTTTTGAGCAACCAAACATTTTACAAAAAATGATTATGAAATACTTAAATTCACTAGGCCAGTCAAAAGCAAAAACAACTTTAGAGACATACCCTATCATCCAAATCACCCAAGCTAATTTTTTTTTGCGGGGGGTTCCAGGTATCAAACCCGGGGGCTCATCACAGGCCAGGCCTATTCACAAGCACTGAGCTAATGTCCCGAGCCAGGGGGAGGCTGTGTGCAAAGCTAGCGCCCTCCCTGCCCTGGTCCTCCATACAGGTGTTTGATAACCTGATCATTCCCACAAAGGCACTATTCCTCTTCTTCATGCAGGAGGAATCTGAGATTCTGAGAAGCAGTTCATCCAGTGTCATGCCACTAGTGCAGGGGCTGAACCTGAATGTGAGCCTTGGTCCTTCACAGTTCTGAGTTTTTGCTCCTAACCACAGGACTGGATGGGTGAGCTCAAACTGTTTTTCAGTGTGAACAATAACCTTTAATCTCACTGTTATTCAATCTGGGATTTTATACTTAGAGAGTGAGACAAAGCAAGGAGGAGAAAAACAAAACATGCACAGGTGTGCCCTTCAATGTAGACTTACAAAGCTTCCCAAATGGTTCCCAAATAAAGAATTAAAAAAAAAAAAGCCAATAAGGAGGACGAAAACTCTTCATCCATCTCCGTATGCCGCCAACAGAAGCAGCAGACAGCCACACTCCTGGCAAGAGCTACTCATCTTCAACCTCCTCAGGCAAGCAAGGTAAGAATGAGTCTTCATGAAATCACTCCCCGTTGGGGCTTGCAAACGCAAGTTCCCTCTATCTTCACTGTATTCCCTAATAAAGATCAGAGCTTTAATGAATGTTTTCTGCTAAGGAAGTGTTTAGGTACTTCCAGAAGGGGGTTGGTGCAAGGAGACCTTATAATTTACTCTGCCGTCAGAGGAGAAATAAAATATTCTCCTTTGCCCTATGAGTGCAAGACTTGGCAAATCCAGCTCAGTGAAGTGAGTCCGAAAGTTACGATTACTGCCAGAACACTTCTGCTGACAAAGAACGTGACTCTGAGTCACATACTTACTTATCTACAAGAGTCCGTATGACCGCCAGTGTGTCCAGCACCAGCCCATCGACGTTTTGTTTCTTTCTCCTCGGCTCGTGTGGTCCTCGGCCCCTCCGTGGTGGCCGAACAGGGTCCCGGGGTTGGCTCCTTGTGTCTGCGGTGGGCACCGCGCTGCTGTCAGCCTGGTGCTGCTGGGTGTCAACACTGTCTTCGGCTCCACTGTCATCTCGGCAGATGCAGGAGTTGCCCATGGTACCACCGGCCCCTCTCGTCCACAGGAAGTGAGCTATGCGCTCCTCAAGAGTCGACAGCAGACCTCGGCCAAGGCTTCTGCTTGCTAGGAACACGGCCCAACCAAAGACGATCATTTAGATAGTTTTCAGTTTCCCAAGTATTGTTTTCATAATCTGGAGCGGAGACACTTGCATTCTATTTGTTTTTAATAACTGAATGCTGAAGAAAGTGGTAGATCTGATCTCCAACATTATCAACTAGAGGAAATCCTGGTCAGCCGGTGGCAATTCTAAAAGAAAAAAGACATGAGAGAAGGGTCATGGATCTCAGATTCTCGGGTGCTTACTCAAATTTCCCAAGTTGGAGACTGAAAGCTTTAGGATGATGATGAAGAACCATCTCCAGCTATTTTTTTCCACAGCTTTCCAACACAGGGGTATCTTTGTATAAGGAAATTATCAATGGTTTCTTTTTTTTTATCATTATAAAAAGGATCACTAAGTTAAAGCATATTCTTGTAAACCACATGAATTACCAATGGTTGAAAAAAATATGTAGAGTTTCATCTGTACAGACACATATTTGAAGAATGTATGCAATCTTTTCAAGGGCTTTCCTTCTTTTTCGTCTTTGGGTCACACCTCAGGGCTTACTCCTGGCTCTGCATTCAGGAATCACTCGTGGTAGTGCTCAGGGACCATATGGGATGCTGGGGATGAATCCCGGGTCTACTGCGTGCAAGGCAAGCCCTCCCCACTGTCCTAACACTCGAGCATTTCAAGGGCTTCTTTTGAAGCTAAGAAATGAACGGTCCAGCCAGGGGAGGTATTCAGCAGGGAAAGCCTGGGTGTGACGGTCTCTCTCTCTGGAGGCACACCCAACAGCGCTCAGAAGTTACTTCCAATGAGGTGCAGAGGGGACCAGGTGGTGCTGGGAACTGCCCACAGACCTGTAGCAAGCAAAGGATGTGCTCCAGTGTGGGAAATCGTCCCCCAACAAAACCCCTAGGCCAGGACCATCTCTGGGGCAAAACAATTTAGGTTTTAAGAAAACCATGGAGCAGCAAACGCACGCCCAGGAAAGGAGAGAACAGGTGACGGGCAGCAAACCTGGGCCCAGGAAAAGACAGAGTAAAAGACTTTAGGACTTTTCAAGGGCTGGAGTGATATCACAGAGGGTAGGGCGTTTGTTCACTTTGCACGCAGCCGACCTGGGTTCGATTCCTCCATCTCTCTCGGAGAGCCCAGCAAGCTACCGAGAGTATCTCGCCTGCACAGCAAAGCCTAGTAAGCTCCCCGTGATGTATTAGATATGCCAAACACAGTAACAAGTCTCAAAATGTTACTGGGCCCGCTTGAGCAAATCAATGAACAATGGGAGGACAGTGACAGTGACAGTGACAGGGCTTTTCAAATGCAGAGGGGGAGGTTGGCAAATCCACACTAGGAAAACTGGCATGACTTTATACTCTAAGGGCACCTGCTGACGGGCACATGAAACACCCCAGCCTCTGCTCCTCACGCACCCACTGAAATCCGACTGTCCTTTAAGTCTTTGTCAAACTATGGCTCCTCTGCTGGGAGACATACTGTACTGAAAAATGCCCTGCCTGTGAGCTCGCTGATGGCCAGCCAGCAGGCGACCCTAAAGCTGGGGCAGTCCTTGAATGTTTGTCTTATTGTCTGCAACTGACCCCCGGTTGGAGGGAGGTGGAAGGTGCCAATCTGACTGGCTTTGTCGTGGCAGACCCCAGGCCTTTGAGCCATCTCCCTGGGAATCATCACCTTCCTCATACCTGTGAGAAAAAGCCTCAATGTTTGTTTCAAATAAAGGATCTAATTAAAGATGAAGTTAAGAGTCACGAGACATATGTGATAACAGTCATTAGGCGTCAGGAAGAATGAAAGAACAGAGCTTCATTTAAACTACCCAAACTATAGGCTTCCCAGGTGGAAATTTTCTTTAAAATTACAAAGTAGTTACAAAGTTTTTCTGTTATATAAGCAAGACTATTTTCGGAAAGGCAAATATGTATTACAAGGTTACATTTCACAAAGATCAGCTTGCTGCACAAAGTATCTACTTGAAAGTTAAGAATATTGAAAAACTAGTTATCTTTGCTTGAAAAGAAGAAGCACCTTGTTCCAGGAACCAGGCTGCTGCAGGGAGAATAAAGATGAATAAGGCGCAGTCCCTGACAACAGTATTTTGTAATGACTCTTCTGATTGCATATAGTACGTTTATTGTCAAAAAAATTTTTAAGGAGAAAGTCATGCCCACGAAGCAACTCTGGCGCCAAGTAAGCTCATTCACCGGCCATGACCCATAAATAAATCTCGAAAGAGACTAACAAGTTGCAGAGATTCTTCCGGGCTCCACACAAGGCTGAAGTGCCCATGACACCTCAGAGGGGTAAGCGGGTGAGCCCAGTGCCTGCCCACAGCCCCAGGAGCTGAAAACTTCAATACTTCACAATCGCCACCATGCTCCAGGCTGGACTCCACGCTCCAGACAAGCCTCAGGCAGAAACTAATCCTCTGAAAAGCTCAGATAAGTGGGTTCTGTGACTGAAATCTCCAAGCTTTCAGGGAGTCCGAGAGGGGCTACCTCCCCACCATCTCCCTGTACTTCCAAAAGCCCCGACAGTCACACATACCCAAAGTTGCAGGCCTGTTAAAATTTAACTCCAGCTGTATCACCGTGTTTAAAATTTTTGGAATTTGGAGCTGGAGAGAGAGCACAGCAGGTAGGGCGTTTGCCTTGCACGCGGCCGACCCGGGTTTGATTCCCAGCATCCCATATGGTCCCCTGAGCACCGCCAGGAGTGACTCCTGAGTGCAGAGCCAGGAGTAACCCCTGTGCATCATCAGGTGTGATCCCCCCACCCCCCAAAAATTTGGAATTCCTGAAGTGACATCTCAAACTTTACAACACTGATAAACCAGGAGTAGCAACCAGACTGGGCGGGATGTAATATAGAAAGCAACCCAATCATGATAAAAATACAAATGCAGAAGGCTTAGCCTGTAGCAACGTCTTAGTAATCTCTTATACAAGGACTCAGTGGCTCCATGGTGAAATACAATAATTTTCACTAACTTTCTTCTAAGGAAACATTTTTTCTAAACATCAATCTATTAGTAAATTATTGATAACAAGCACTATAGCACTGTCCTCTCGTTGTTCATCAATTTGCTCAAGCGGGCCCAGTAATGTCTCCACTGCGAGACTTGTTACTGTGTTTGGCATATCGAATACATCACGGGTAGCTTGCCAGGCTTTGCCGTGAGGGCGAGATACTCTCGGTACCTTGCTGGGTTCGCCAAAAGAGATGGAGGAATCAAACCCGACTCGGCCGGGCCAGCCGAGCGCAAGGCAAGCACCCTACCCACTGTGCTATTGCTTCAGCCAATGGCATAAATTATTGAGGGCCTGCTATGAAGGCAAGCTTAAGGGTGTTAGGACAAATTGGAGACAACGGTGAAGGGAAGATATAATGGTGGTGGGATTGGTGTTCAAATACTGAATGTCTGTATTTGAACAGACTGTAACAAATCATTATGTTAACAACTCTGTAAACCACAGTGTTTATTATATAAAGTGGAAAGGGAAAATAAAATATAAATAAATAAAAAGAAAATAAATCCAAGGAGACACTGTGGAGATCGCTCAAAAAGATGGGACTGCATGTGGAAACCTAGGGTTAGATCCTTGGCACCATTAAACAGTCAACAATCAATCAGCCCAAAACCCTAATAACAAGAGCAAGCCCAACTAGTCAGAATCAGCTCTTTATTAAGCTGAAAAAAATCGGGGGCTGGAGCAATAGCACAGTGGGTAGGGCATTTGCCTTGCATGCAGCTGACCCGGGTTCGATTCCCAGCATCCCATATGGTCCCCTGAGCACCGCCAGGAGTAACTCCTGAGTGCCGAGCCAGGAGTAACCCCTGTGCATTGCCAGGTATGAACCGAAAAGAAAAAAAAATCTGGTTAGATCTGGAAAGAATTGGAAGCAGGGAGTTTTAGTAAAAAGCAAAGAATTGGGGACTAGAGTAATAGTACAGTGGGTAGGAACTTGTCTTGCATTCGACTGACCCCTGTTCACTCCCCAGCACCACATATGGTCCTTTGAGTCCTGCCAGGAGCAAGCCCTGAGCACTGCTGGATGTAGCACCAAAACACAATGAAAAAATCAAAGCATCAGACCAGTACCTGGGGACCGGGACATAAATGGACATTAATTACTATTAAATTCTCATAAGCTGGGCACTGATTCAGGAATATAGTTATAAATAAAAGGTACAATTCAGTGAGATTAGATGAGGTAAGTTACTACCATTATTTTGGACATAATGAAAGCAAACTCTTAGTTACCCAACTTACTACTCAAAGCACATGCTTTACACACAGGTGGCTTTGGGCTTGATCCCTGGCAATGCATGGTACCTCTAGTACCATGGGGATGGACCTCTAGAACAGAGTCGGGAGTAAGCCCTGAGCATTACTGGGTGTTGCCCCGTCAAACAGCAAAAACAAACTACTGCTCATAGGTGGAAACAGAAGAAAAACAGATAGAGACTATCCACACACACACACACACACACACACACACACACACACACGGGAAGAGGAGAGGAGCATGGGATAGATGTTATTGCCTTTCATGCAGCCTACCCTGTTCAATCCCTGACAACACATACAGGTCTCCCAAGCACTGCTAGGAATGACATCTGAACACAGAGCCAGGAGTGGTCCCTAAGCATCTCCAGGTTTATGATCCCCCAACCAACAACCAACCAACTGAAACCCTAAAGCCCAGGCAGGCATCACCTGTCTCCAGACTACCAAGCCAGCCATGGCTGAGTGAAGCAGTCAGGTGGTGTCACAGACGTCCCTGGCCCCACCTACAGAGTCAGGCTGCCCTTCTAAACTTGAAAACTGCACTTATAAATATTATGCCGGAAGGACCAGAGAGATGGTAGAGGGGATAAGGTGACTGCCATGCACATCACATACACCCTGAACACTGTCAGGAATACTCCTGTCTTGATTACACAGCCAGGAATGACCCCTGAGTACCTAGGTGTGGCCTAACACCCATAAAAAAGAAAAAGATGACTAAAGTATTGGTAAGAGCATGACGCAGAGACTCAGCAAGAAAGAGTTTTTATTTATTTATTTATTGCTTTTGGGTCACACCCGGCATTGCACAGGAGTTACTCCTGGCTCATGCACTCAGGGATTACTCCTGACAGTGCTCGGGGGACCATATGGGATGCTGGGAATCG